AGCCTTGGGGATGCTTCGGCATCCTTCGGGATGCTTCGACATCCTCCAGAAAGCCTCGGCAGCCTTGGGGATGATTCGAAAGCCTTCGGGATGCTTCGTCAGGCTTAGAGAGGGCCAGGCGCAAGCACGATGTCGCGACGGAATGCTTTGCCATCCCGAAGGACACTTAGGCATGCTTAAGAATATGCCATCCCGTCAATGGGCGACGGGCCTTAATACATGGTGTTAAGACTGTCTTATTAATTTAAGCATTGGTTTATGATAGAGCGATGGCACCAATAATCGACCTTTTAAGGGACATGTGTCTACAAATTTGAAATAACTTTTTGTTTTTAAACAAATATCAATCGTGATTAGTTTACTTGACGGGTATAATCCTCAAGAAAGATTACGCTGTAGTATATTTATTAAAATTATTACTAAAAAAACCGTAAACTAGAATTTCTCTAAATCTCTAGTAATGAACACCAAAAGTCCACTAATTATCTAACCTGGGGGTCGATTCAGAACTCTTCGATATTTTAACCGAATCTTTCGATTGGATATCGTTCTCGAATCGACAAGCGCTTTCCGAGCTATTCAGAACATTCGAGTTCAACGTTCGATTCGGATACATTATCGTTATCCAACAACGTTTACTGAGTTAGTCGGTGAAGTAGTTTATAAGAAAAATGAAAATCCTTTTATATATATTTTTAAGACTTCAAGGGCTTAAAATATAGGACTGCATTAGTCTTGCATTAAAATAAATTAATAAATTATTAATACAAAGATCGAACACTCAGAAAAAATTCCTTCGATCCGGTCAGATTCGAACCGACGTCTTCTTGCATACCGTGCCAGACGCTATACCAACTAAGCACGGAACGAACCAACGGACCTCACGAATTTTTCTATGTGCTTGCGTCGTGTCTTTGTACTTGGTCATTCAACGACTTTTTCGTCGTAGCGCCATCTATGAGAAATCTATTACAGATTTATCACCCAGTTAGTACCTTTACAGCTACCAGTCCTGTTATATTATGGTTTTGCAATAAAATATTGAGTATTGAGTATTGAGTCCTGGCGAGAGATGTCGCTATTCACTGTATTAATTAAATTTTTATTGAATTGATATTCAATTATTTTTTGTGAAATTACTTAGTTGGTATAACGTCTGGCACGGTATGCAAGAAGACGTCGGTTCGAATCCGACCGGATCGAAGGAATTTTTTCTGAGTGTTTTTTCTGAGTGTTCGATCTTTGTATTAATAATTATAACAAACTAGTGGAGTAATTTCACAAAAAATAATTGAATATCAATTCAATAAAAATTTAATTAAATTAATAAAATTAAACAAAATCCAGACTTTATATATTCTTGCTTGATATTCTTGCTTTGTAAACAATAGGACGATCGGTAACTTTCATTCGATAACTGTGTTTTGAATAACGTTTATAGCCTTTGCCGGTCGAGAAGTACGAGTAAGCGTACGGGTGTGACGTCGTTTCGAATACGACAGCTTAACGTTGGAATCGAGTATTGTGAATAAAAATGAAAAAAAATCGTACGATATCAAATCGAATCGATTGACTGAGTTATCGTAAGATTCTGAAACGACCCCCAGTAATCGCCAATCCAAAAATGTCAACCTTATATGCTTGTCGTAGGAAAATGTTGGAAGGTTTCACCTTTTTTAGAAACATATTGGTAGACAATAAAAATCTCCAAAACAAAAGCGCCTGACGTAACCCTTATAGCAACATTGCATTTCAGACTTCAAGCAGCAGTGGTTTTTGACAGGCTCGTGTATTCAAACTCAGAGGAAAAGCGCTCAAAAACACACAGCTATTCTTAGAATCCGTTTGATCCCTTTTTTTTATACCCAACAGCCCGGCAAGATATCTATTGATTCTCCGCCCAAAATCTAAAAACCCCCCATCTTTTATCACCCTCTTTTTCTTTTTTTTATGATAATAAGTGATGAAACGAACAAGTGCGCCTGATGGTAAGCGACACGCCTGTCCATAACAGTTGCAGTGCCACTCAGAGCTTTAAATCGCAAAGATCTGAGGGGCACTGCCTCTGCGCCCATCACCCTGAGACATATGTTGAAAAGTCCCATGTGCTTGTAATTCCACCAACACCCTTACCCTTCAAAACCGGAACGCAGTAATGCTTGGAGGTAGAAATAGGTAAGGTGGCAGTACTTCCCTGGACGAACTCTTTTATAAAAAGCTGTACTGCTACTCAATTTCAATAATTGTATTTAGGTTCCAGCCTTTTGTTCTTTCATTTTCTAAATGTAATAAATTAATGTTGACCGAGCCCTTATTTATTTTGTAAAAACTGTACTACGTGTTTAAATTGTCTTTATTTATTTGCATTTTTCCGTCCTTTTGTTAAAAAAGAAACTTAATGATTATTTGCGTTTGTAAATTTTTGAAAATAAGTGTGTCTTATCAAGTAACGTATTTATTTATGTAAACTTAGAGTATAAGTTTTTCAATAAGAAATATTAATAAAGAGAGGAAATTAATTTACTTGTCGTTTTTTTTATAACCTTATAAGTAAATAGATATTAGACAACATCACGCCAGGTAGAGCTCGTGCAGCGTGCCGGTGATATTTTTTTTATAATACCTAATAACAAGTCGTGCGCCTGATGGTAAGCTACACGCCTGTCCATAACAGTTGCAGTGCCACTCAGAGCTTTAAATCGCAAAGATCTAAGGGACACTGCCACTGCGCCCGTCACCCTAAGACATAAGTTGACAAGTCCCATGTGCCTGTAATTTCACCAGCACCCTCGCCCTTAAAAACAGGAACGCAATAAGTCATATTACTGCTTGGCGGCAGAAATAGTTAAACCTGGCAGTACTTCCCTAGACGATCTCTTTCACAAGGAGCTCTACTTAGCGATGGACGAGTCGAGTTATTTAACTCGAGTTACTTCTACAACGAGTCAACTCGAGTTACTTTTTCATGAACTCGAGCTATGTCGGTTCTGGAGTGCGTTTCGTTTCTGCAAGTACAATTTTGGATTGCGTACTTTCAACTTTATATGTACTATTTTTCATATATCGGATAAAATATATCGATAGTACATATCGATACCGAATGATACGATAATATCGGATGGATTCGATATATCCATTGATATATCGATATTTTTTTGAATATGGATATAATATAGACTTGCAGCGATCAGTCGTCGCAAGTCGCTTGCAACTACTACTAGATGATCAATTAATGTTCCTATTATGAATAGATTATTACATAAGTGATTAAAATTATAATAATGGACCCAGATAGGTTAATTGATGCAGTTCGTAATCGCCGCAGAATATTAATTGGATGAATATGAAATCTCCTTATCCCTCCTTTGGCACGGACCTGTACGGCGGAGTTTTTTAACAAAAAAAAGTTCTGCAGCTTGATTTTGATTGCCTCTCCCGATCGGAAACTGCGTCTTTTCCGAGTCGATGCGCATAATTGCGATTCACAACTGGCCGATCGGAAACTTTTGACATTTCTAATCGGAACAATACTTGATTTAACGCGCAAATTAGAAATAGGAATAAGCAGCTTGGTTTTTATTACCCCTCCCGATTCCGATTTGAATCAAAATCAGCATGCTACTAAATCCATTTTCCTTGTAGGTACGATAATTATTCGAAAATTCACTATGCTATCGGTCGCCGGGAGTGTTACGTCGCTATTTCGTCGTTAGAAGTCGTTACGAGTCGATGCGACCGCAGTCGCGACATATCGGCGGCACGCTACACGGGTCCTAAAGTAACTAAAGCACTTGTGATATGGAAATCGGAAACAACCTCCAATTCGGACGGAGGTTGTTTTAACTAATAACATCTATGTATTTGCCAAGTTTTATTCAAATTGGTAAGTTACCACCACCCGTATAGGTGGAATATTTAAATGGGATCAAATTTAAATGGGACCAATACTGAGATAACCTGTTTCCAACAAAAAAAAGAATCACAACATGCGGAGAAACCAGAGAAATCACGTAACATAATACATACACGAAAAAAGAAAAGAATACAGTCGAATTGAGAACCTCCTTTTTTTAAGTCGGTTAAAAAGAAACAAAATACCTGTACGGTGGTTATAAACACCCATCACAATGTATATTTTTTTTGGTTACCTATCTGTAATCCGAAATGACACATTCCAGAAATAATGTTTGGTCGAAATTTCATAACCTCGATAGTAATTTTGAAAGGAAAATATGTTTTCTTTTAAAACTAACCTAAACGAACCTAATCGTGTCTTTGCCATAAACATTCAACATATCCTGAAAGAACAACTGTTTCGTTATAATTCGGTTTTCCGAGTAATGAAAATTTTCGACATTGTGATACGTTACCATATTTTTCCAATGTACGGACAACGGCACATCAGACTACACATTTTTGTACGAAAATCGCCTCCATTGCAACGGAACAAGATACGTCAATGTGTAGCTTGATGTGCTGGCGTGCGTACAACACTACAGCGATATACATCCTAAAAATAGTTACACGTAATTGAAAACATCTTTGTACACCACGCCAGCACTACTACTACACATTGACGTATCTTGTTCCGTTGCACTGGAGGCGATTTTCGAACAAAAATTTGTAGTCTGATGTGCCGTTGTCCGTACCGTCATGAACACATCAAACTTGATATTTTGGACCGTAAGCGACAAAAATGATTATATTTCTTTATATATACAACAATAATCCCAGTACAGAGTATTAAAAAAACCAACCTCAAAAGTACGTGGAATTACATACGTATAATTACCAAGTTTTATTGAAATCGGTTACCGGAAAGTGCGCAAACCCGGATTCATCCCCCAGTTCGCCACTATACGGGACTTGACACAGGAGATAATAAAAATCGGTTCTCACTACTCAAAGTATATTGAAAGAGAAAAACGCCTTGAATGAAAGAATAGCAAAATCACCATTAAAACAATTTTATACTAAAATTTAGGCGCTATTTATAAAAATGAAACTTTATGCGTGAATAGCCACCTGGAGGTGGATTATTTTCTTCAAAATTGAATTGGACCACTACGGAGGAAAAAAGAATCATGAAAATTGGTTCACAAATACCAGAGTTATCGCGTAACATACATACAAAAAAAGAACATACAGTCGAATTGAGAACCTCTTTCTTTTGTGAAGTCGGTTAAAAATACAAAAACTTGATTTTTTATTGCCTCTCCCGATCGGAAACTGCGTCTTTTCCGAGTCGAGGCGCATAATTACGATTCACAACTGGCCGTTCGGAAACTTTTACATTTCTAATTGGAACAATGGTTGATTTAACTCACAAATGAGAAAGATATAGCAGGAATCAGGTTCATCTTCTCGCTCAGAAACCTATCTGATTTCGAGACTACCCGATCGGACCCGGATTCAGAGCTCTTCGATATTTTAACCGAATCGTTCGATTAGATATAGTTTCTTCGTTACAAAACATGTTTTGTAATCTGAGCAACAACACTGTCATTTTATGATTGCAATCTGAAAAAAGTGCCTCTGCGTATTGAATTGGTTAATTCTGAATCACCAACACCAACTCAAGGTCCAAATGTAATTGGTCACCATTCAATAAATATAAATTGAAACTATAATGATTATATTATAGCATCGAGTATACAACCAGAAATAGAGACGAAATGTCATTTAATTTGTTTGAAAACTATTCTGCCATACATTACTGTGACAACTGCGCTCCGATTGGCCAGACCGAGTTCGAAACAATTGACGGGTGTGGTCAATTGTTTGACTTCAAATCGACCAGTTAACTTGAGTTTTGCTATAATGGACGATAATTGCAAAATTACATATTTAATATTTAATTACCGATGAAATGTGATTCCGTTTGTTTTGTAATTAGATTTTATGCTGTTTTTCACACACCACTGAATAGAACAGCACGGCATTGTTAGAGATATTATCTTTATTACAATAAATACAGAATATTTTTTGGAATATACGGAGACGTACACACAGGTCAGTAGTTAGCCTGTCTATATTTAAATGCAAACGAAAGTTGATATTTATAAGAGCTGTATCGCTAATGTGTTACCAGGAATATATGGCTTTTATTTCGTCTCCATTTCTGGATATATACTCGATGTATTATAGCAACTTCAATATCGATGATGAGCAATAATTTTATTGATAATATATGAGTAAGCAAAAAATAAATATCTTATCTCGGTAAATAAAGTAAAAATGTCTAAGTCCGTTATCAAATTTTACGATTGATATAAAATTAAAGTAACATCGCTTCGAAAATAATTATCAATGTCACCTTTAAAATTAAAATCGTTTTAGTACATACAGTGAGTACGATTGTAATTGTAAGTACCTAGATGTGGCCAACATCTATAGTTGCAATCGCTTCCGCAATTTGTGCGCAAATTTTTCTTTATGGTTATTGATGGGTCTTTTTCTGTGATATGGCCAATGTCAATTTAAAAACCAACGACCGTTAACATAGTTAACTCTCTAAATAGTTATTCGTTTTAAAAATAATGAGGCTCTTTATTAGCACAATTTAAATTCAATGTTAAGGTCAAATAAAATATGATAAATAAAAACAAACGACGATAAAACTTAATGTCTATCTTTTACTATTGCAAGATTTTAAGCATTCTAAAGCCTTATTTGTAAAAACATCTAAATTCCAAAATATGGGCTTTAAGGTCCTTTACCTCTCACCTACAGATTATATTTATGTCAACATTGTCAGAGGCAACACCAATCAATGCAAATCCTTCTAATTTTATTGAATTGATATTTCAAATTTAACGCCCCAATCCTTAACGTAAGTCGTATTTGGAAACATGGCTGTAAGTTTAAAATTCCAAGCTCAATTTACTTTGCCAGTTAATAGGTCAGACGTGACATTTTTGTAACCTAAAGCATAATGAACGCTATGTCCATTGTCTAACGCGATGATTCCCAAAGTGTCTACATCGATCTCCAGTCTACTCTAATCTACAAGGGGTCCATGTCAGCAAAAAATCTCGGGAGTGCATGACTAACCTCGTAACTAGTCGTAACGAAAAAAGGCACAACTATGCGTACTTTATATGACAGTTGTGCCCTTTTTCGTTCCGAGGGCAGATGAGACGTTAATGGGGGTCCACGAGAGTGGGAACCATTTCGGCAGGTTGTGACCAAAATTGTTGTGATCGGGCGGCGTCGTGGTGAATGTTCACTGATCCCACGGCGCCGACTCAACCGGCGAGAGGGAAACCCGGGGGGGTTTCAGTGGGGTAGGCCCTCCAGTCTGGAGGGAGAGTCCCCACATAACCCCTGAGTCTCCCTGGGCTCAGGGGTATCCATAAAGATTTCCCCCGTCAAAAAAAAAAAAAAAAAAGGTTCTGACCAAAAAGGCTTTCCGTAAATGGAATATTCCACATTACACAGATATTTTTTATTAGCCGTAGAGTTCCTTGTGAAACAGTCCAGGGAAGTAGATACTGCCATATTACCCTATTTCTGCCACAGCATTACTGCGTTCCGGTTGTGAAGGGTAAGGGTGGTGTAGAAATTATAGGTACTACCTACATGAGACTTGACAACTTATGTTCCCTGAACAGGAGTATCACTTACCACCAGGCGCACGACTTGTTTGTCCAGTCACTTGGTATCTTAACACGTTCCCTGTGGAACTAGAAATCAAAAATTGACCCCTCACGTGCAATTTTTTTTTTTTGCAAATATGTCGGAATTGATATATATTAATACATTTATGGATAGAAAATTCATTTTCATAAACTCCCTTTCCATTATCTAATTTTTCCCGAGTGCCCCATATATGATACACGCACGTATGAGCTCTTTACTTGATGCCACATATATGGTGCATGCACGTACTAGTTGTTTACTTAATGCATCACATATAATTCATGCACGCTTAGAGTCATTTTGACAGATGTTTTAGTTAAATATCTGTAGTCTATACCGTGAAAAGATAGAAAAAGTTAGTGAAAGTTTATTATAAAGTGTTACGAGTTATATAGTTATCTAAGTGTTTGACAAAGTTTTGGTTTTATCAACATGTCATGATCATCAAATGGCAATGTCCACTGGTTTCAGGCCAATCATGAAACCTAAAATTGTATTAGATTACAATCGCGGCAAGAAGGGCATTGATATAGCTGATCAGCTCGCAAGTTACAATTCGCCCGTTCGCAAAACTTGTTTTTGGTACAAAAAAATTGCGGGTGATCTGATGTCGGTAGCTGTTGTAAATGCAATTTTGATCTACAAGGACCTCCATCGAAATAATAAAATGACACTGCTGACAGGTCATGAAATAATTATCAGTCATCTCCTGGAAATTGAAGATGCTGAGCCGTTAGCTGGGCCATCAATGACATCTAACTTGTCCCGCCATGAATTGACCAAAATCCCACGCCGATGTGCTACCAAAATTTCCAGAAAGCGTTGTGTTGGTTGCTACAAAATTATGACTGAACAAGGCAACACACCTACAGAAGCTCGTGTAAAATGTGTAAAAAAGCATTGTGCCTTCATTGCTACAATGCTAGCCATTAAATAATGATTTTAGTTGTGCTTACCAGACAATTTTAGATTCTTGGGTTTTATGACATTCTTTATTTGATTATTGTTTGGTTTTTATTATCATGTGCCGTATACGCAAGTCAATAATTAGACCTTTCTAACTTGTAATAAAAAAATAATAAATATTTTTCGTGATTTATTTTGATAGTAATAATCTGGCAACATTGGTTAAAAAGTCATCCGGTACCACTTGCTTATTGTCACAATTTTTGTGGTCCATACGTGCAAGCAAATAAAGATAATCTAGCTTACACGTGCAAATTTTGAAAAACTTTTAAATTTACAAAGGGTCGTGTCTCATATGTGGTGCACTCACGTGTCGTTTGGACCTCGAAATGCATCACATATGATGCATGCACAGGGAACGTGTTAAAAAAAAGACATGCTCGCCCGCGGGGCGGGTAAACAACATTAGGTACAGGGTCAAGAGCACGTCAAGCTTGACGCTGTACATATACATACATGACAAATACAAAGTATAAAATATTCAGAGCGTGGTGAAAATATTACAAGACACCACTTTTTGTGGCGACTGTATGTATATGCCCCAAATTATTACACAGACTCCCACTCACCTACATAATCAGCCTCTTTGTTAGTATTAAAACGTATATTCGATAAACATTCTATACGATAAACAACACCAAAAAAAAGAATAAATGGTGCGGTGCGTCATGGTTTCTGAATTTATCTGACACTTTAATTTCAAATGTTGTGAAATAGGCATGTTGTACGATTTTTAACAAATTTCAAAGAAAATTGTAAAGTTTTCCATATCATGCGTAGTGCAATTTGGTTTTATAAATCCTTTTATCTAAATTAGTGGTCTTGAGGCGACCATTAAGGAAAAATAATTAAATTGGTAGTATTATAATATAGAAAACATGGCAGTGGTGCCAAAGCAAAATTTTAGGAAGTATTTTGGTGTCGAAGTGCCTGCTGTGGACTTCATATACGAAGATGAACAGGTGAATATATATTATTATAAATGAAATTATAATTTAATTAGGAGTTCTTCGGTTTTCCTGATTGTTACACGTAGGAAATAAAACTTTTTTCGTATATATATATATATCGTGTATTTGTTTCTTCACAAAATCAACGTTTAAGGCCCTTTATAGGCCTCATGCTCATCAGTTATGTATAATATTAATGCAAAGCTTTTTTACTTCTTCCTGTCCTTATCAGCCATCATTTCTATACTCGCACCTTTCTTATCCTTATTTTTCACTATAGTTGCAAAACTTAATAATAAATTTTCTAAAGAACATTCCAAATTATTTTATTTATACAATCAGTCAGCCGTCTTGACCTTGGGCCTTTTAAGGGCCTGAAACATTGGTTTGTTTGACAAAAAAAAAACAAATATAGGTACATACCTAAACACATTATTTTCGACAAAACAATTTTTCATTTCATTCTATGTGGGTAATAATGCCAATAGAACCATTTTAGGTTTACCAATGCAATTTATTATAATAATAATAATAATAATAACGCACACACTCAACATAGCCCCGCACTAGGGAAACCCTGTGTCGCGGGTGCCATGGACACACACATAGACAATCACAAATTACACCCAAACTCACGAGAGAAATAAATGTAGGTCATACAAATATTTCGCCCGACCCGGGAATCGAACCTAGGACCTCTGCGTGGCAGTCCGGCATGGTAACCGTTCGGCCACGGAGGCAGTTATTATAGATTTACACTTTTACATAGGTTTGTTTACACTTTTATATAATAATAATTTTGGTTCTATACAAATGATGATGCGGATAAAACCATGATTGACCTTCAAATGCAATCGATGAGTTAAAGTTAACAGTAGAATGTTTGTTTATAAATCACATGATTTGAATTTGAAAAAATTGTTCCATTTAGTAATTTCATTATTCACCCATAAAAATCTATTATAAATTTATAATAATAATTTAGTTGTATTTGTGTTCTTTTTTATTACTGTTTTTTAATTGCAACTGTATCATCACTCCACTGTATGATGTCCTTCTTCCTAAAATCCCCCATCCTGTTAATAAGAAATACCTTCTAACGTTGGGCAACTTCCACTTTGTGTATGTCCAAAATATGCTCAAAAAATGAACAAAATGTACAATTAGAGTTAGTCCTTGAACCATAAACAGATCTGTGCTCTTTATTCCAAATGGCTTAAAATAAAGTTTTGAGTCCAGCGACTCTTCTTCCATAGTCATTAAATGGCTGATTGTGTTCTACTGGTTCAACTTTCTAGTATTCTTGATTTTTTCAAACTTGCCGAGATCTTGCCAATACATTTGTATGTAGTGATAGTGCCTTATATTTTTCTTTACATGCCAGTAGGAGATACTTTGATAGTTAGCATTTCAAGACATTCATGTATCTCCTGGGCTCTTACAAACCAAAGTGATTGGACTATGGTCTTTAGTACACCATTTTGGAAGCAGTGAAGAATTTTCACATTAGAGGTGTAGGTTAATTTGCTCTCTTGTAATCATCGAGTATATAACCAGAAATAAGAAATGTTTGAAAGCTATTCTGCCAAATCATTACTGTGACAACTGTGTTCCAAATGGTCTGCCCAAATTTGAAATCATTGACGGGTGTCGTTAATGGTTTCACTTTAAATCAACCAGTTTAACGAAAGAATGGACGAAAATTGAGAAATTACATATTTAATTACCAATAAAATGTGATTCCGTTTGTTTTGTAATTAGATGTTTTGCTGTTTTTCCCACACCACCGAATGGAATAGCCCCCCCATGGTTATTACCTTTATTACAATAAATACAGAATATTTTTGGAATATATGGAGACGGTACACACAGGTCAGTTGTTGGCGCTGTACTATTTCAGCATTCTAATTTGTGATTTCAGCGCAAACGAGAGTTGATATTTAAAAGTGATATAAGGCCCATTTGCCTGAGTTGCCAGGGATGGATGGCCCATTTCGTCTTTATTTCTGGTTATTTACTTGATGGCTGTAATATTTTCCAACATTTTACCGTTCCAGTGACAATGTATTTGAAAAACAAAGCATTTCCTCACCTTGAAATTTTAGTATTAGTGTCTATACTATCCCTATCTAATAAAAAAATTTCAGTTTGCTAGGTGTTATGTAATACTCCCTGTATGTTTGTCTTATTTGTTACTGTAGATTAGCTTCTCGCAGTGAAGTCTATCAATGACATTTACCAAGCAATACTAAGTAATAAACACATGTCTTTCTTAACTGGACATTGCTAGAATCATCAGTCATATTGATGGTGCTATAACACAGAATTATGCATTAAATTTATTCATTTTCTCATTGCAGTGCGTTGTCTTCGATGAGATGAAGAATCCACAGGCACCGGTACATTTCTTGGTTGTGCCAAAGGACATTATTCCTAGGCTGATGGACACAAACGATGGAGACGAGAGATTGCTCGGTAAGATTTGCCTGTATATGTATGTACAGGGTTATTTATAAGACTACACTACAGAGATTTAGGTAATTGAGTAAATGTAAAGAAACCATAATTATTTTATGAAGCATTAGCTGTTTTTTGTTTTATAATACTGTGTGACGGGACAAACAAGTCGTGGGCTGGTGGTAAGCGACACGCCTGTGCATAACAGTTGCAGTGCCACTGAGAGCTTTAAACCGCACAGACCGGAGGGCCACTGCCACTAAAAGAAAGAAATCTAAACTAAAAAAAAGTTTTTTTTTAATCTTTTTTTTAATTGAGACTTTAGCCACCTTGGGAGACTATGTCAGCCTCATGGACGGAATACTGGGTTCCCTACTCAAGAGACTCAAAAACTTGTACAAGTTTAGAGCGCCAAGACATACAGGCTCTCTGAGCCAACAATTAATTTGTTCATTGCATAAACTTACATCCCCAAACATTGTACCTCTCAGGGATACGTTACGGTCACATTCCACCAATACATGATACAGATCGTCTATTATATTGCAAGTACTGCACAATGGGGATGGTTTAAAACCCATCATGTGAAAGAATTTATTATTATCCACCGACTGTTCTCCGAAATGATATTCCCATTAAAAAACTAAAAAGGTTTTAAGAAACACTGAAAATTTTATTTAATCTAAATTAATTCTTGAGGCCTTCCTCACTCACTTCAGTGCCCTCAACAAAGTGCAACTTTGGTTTTTCAATAATCAGTCTACAGTAACATATTGGTACCACATTATGTTCTTCTTTATCATTGCTCTGTAAGTATTTTATTTTTTGTTCATTTTCTATCTGAATTATTGTATGAAGTGATAGGTTGTAAAGGTCGTAAAGGAATGTCGCCCGTACATACTAACGTTTTGTCCCCAATTGTTTCTTCTTGTATTAGCATTATAAAATTTGTGTTGTTTTTTCTATTTATCTAAAAACTTGTTACTTTTGCACCCTGAAATGTGGGACTCGTATTAATTTAAAAAACTTTAAATTTTTTTGAAATTCCACTCCAGAGGTTGTTTGTTTGTGAAGTAAGTTACTGTTTAATGGAGATAAAGCAGACACTTGACCTGGAGCTAGTTATGCAGCGGATGTGTCATAACGGAAACAGATGTCAAAGTAAATCCTAGCGGAAACGGAAGCAGATGCGAAAGCGTAAATTTTTTTTTTTTGTACTATAATAACTCAACAAATTCAGGACAGGAAAGTTCAGGACTTGTTTTTGGTTTCATAATTTAAGTACAATTATTACACAATACAAAAAAGTTAAAAAACGCACGTTCCACCGCCAAGTAATCCGCACTACCGCCTGATCCGTCGCAAACGTTGTAAACTTCCGTTATAAATATGGCGAAGCAGAAACGGAAACATGTGAAAAAGGCTGCGGATCTCCATAGTTGCGGAAGCAATTAGCGGGACGGCACGGCACATTCGCCATCTAATTACAAGCGCATATTGACAGCAATTATGCCGCTGTATACTTAGCAATGCCGTAGTATTCTTAAATATGACGTAGCTTCCTTAAATATGACGTAGCATCCTTAGGCATACCGAAGCATATCATCTACAATACTACTGCCTGCCGTAGTCGCACACGGCGTCCTGAAGCCTGCGGAGGTATCCCGAAGGCTGCCGGCTCGGTATCCCAAAACCGCAGCTTGGATTTTGTAGCTACAACCATAATCATTGAAATATCAACTACAATGTCAATGATTATGTATTATTATTCGTTACTTAAAAATCTCTTGCCGTGCCATCAGTCAGTGGGCGCAAGGACATAAGCGGCATCGAATAGGGATAATTGTTCCCTATTCACAACTTCTTTTCCTTTCCAGGACACTTGCTAACAGTGGCAAAACGAGCGGCGATACTCAAAAGCCTGGACAAAGGCTTTCGTGTGGTTATTAATGAAGGACCTCACTCGTGTCAGAGTGTAGACCAGTTCTATGTGCAAGTGCTTGGTGGTAGAATGATGTGGTTTCCTTTTTCTTGAAATACATTTAATTTTGATGTATTTAGTTTTTTTACTAGCCTGCTACTAGTGACTTTTAAAACGGATTTCTGTGTTTATTATACAACAATAAGCATTATTAGTTAAATAAAACTTAACGCGTATCACGCTACGCAATTTCTAGGAGCCTGCGTGAGGGCTGGGCGTGGCTCTTAGTTTGGGCGCCGCTTTTATTAACTTATTATAAGGCTAACCTGACTACCTAACTCTTATGACACCTCCCTAAATCTGAGTTAGAGATAGGGTTAGTCTAAGAAGTGTTTACGTGTGCTAGTGAAATTACAGGCGCAAAGGACTTGTCAACTTATGTCTCAGGGTGACGGCGCAGTGGCACTGACCCCTAAGATTTTTGCAATTTAACGCTCTGAGTGGCACTACAACTATTATGGAAAGAGTGAATTTTTCTCTATGTTTGATTTGTGAATTAATAATTATAACAAACTAGTGGAGCAATATCCAAAAAAAAATTAATATCATGATAGTAAAACATCGTGATAGTCAATACACTTCATATTACAACTGTTTTCTGTTTAATGGGGATAAAGCAGACACTTGACCCGGAGCGCATTAGCGGGACGGCAAGGCATCGTATTGCAAGCGTATACTGACAGCAAGTATGCCGCTGTATACTCAGCAATGCCGCAGTATCCTTAAATATGACGTAGCATACCGTCTACACTGCTACTGCCTGTCGAGCCTGCGTCCTCTCGCCCCGCAGTCGCACTCAACGTGAAGCCTGCCCAGGTATCGCGGAAGCGGTATCTCTAAGCCGCAGCTTGGATTTTGTAGCTACAACCATAATCATTGAAATGTCAACTACAATGTCAATGATTAAGATATATTATTATTCGTTACTTAAAAATCTCTTGCCATCAGTCAGTGGGTGCAGGGACTTAAGCGCCATCGAATAGGGATAATTGTTCCCTATTCACAACTTCTTCTCCTTTTCAGGACACTTGCTGACAGTGGCAAAACGCGCGGCGATACTCAAGGGCCTCGACAAAGGTTTTCGTGTGGTTATGAATGAAGGACCTCACTCGTGTCAGAGTGTAAACCAGTTCTATGTGCAAGTGCTTGGTGGTAGACAGATGTGGTGGCCTTTTTCTTGAAATATATTTAATTTTGATGTATTTAGTTTTTTACTAGCCTGCTACTTGTGACTTTAAAACGGATTTCGGCCGTCCTCTCTGCGCTTATATATAACTATAAGCATTATTACTTAAACAAAACTAAAACAAGTAGTACACTACCCAGTTTCTAGGGTCCTGCGTGAAGAAGGGTGAGCTTAGTTTGGCCGCCGCTCTTATTAACATATTATAAGCAGCTTATCATAGGGACCCTAATTACCTAACATTTATCACACCTCCCTAAGTCTAAGTTAAGGCTAGGGTTAGTCTAATAAGCGTTTATTGTTTAAGTGTGCTAGCATTGGCGAGGCTTTCATATATTTCGATTCACACCGGCTTGCCTACAATTTACCACATATTATCAAATATTATGAATATTTTAAAGTAATTATCACATTTGGTGCTCAATTTTATGTGTAGAACAACTTAACCTTTGAATTGAAGTGTATTAGTGTCTTGTGTTCTAATAAGTGTCACACAGGCGTCACTTTTTGTTAAGGTGCTTCTTGGTTTTGCTAACGACTATTTTCACGTCTCACTGCGTGCTAGTGAAATTACAGACACATGCGACTTGGCACCTTATGTCTAAGGGCGCGTTCCCACTATGTCGTGACAGATTGTCGTGCAGTTTACAGTGTCGTGGCTTGTATATTTAAATGAAGTTGTTCACATAAGCACGACACGATTAAATGTCGTTCACGATTTTTTATCGTTACAACGACAAACTGTCGTCACAGTGGGAACAGCTAGAACGACAGTCGTCGGACGATAAAAACGTGACGACAGATTGTCGCAGCTCCTATTGTCGTCACGATCTAGTGGGAACAGCTAGTCACGACAGTCGTTCAACGATAAAAAATCGTCCACGACAGATAGTCGTGATATGGGAACAGGCTAAACACGACAGTCGTCCAACGATAATAAATCGTGACGACATAGCGGGAACGCGCCCTCAGGGTGACGGGCGCCGTGGCGGTGACACCATATGAGTGACCCCTTTCGTGAAACACGCGATTGCGCATAGCTACTCTTGCTATTATAAATCACAAGTGTAGCGATGCAATGGCGCATTTGTACCGATGCAGTCGCGTGTGTACAGGTGGACGATTTTAAATAGAAAACCACCGTTAGACTAAAACATATTAATTGGTTCGAAACATGTCGACCTAAAATTCGGCTTAAATGTGAGTTATCCGTTATTTTTAGTTAATAGGTAGACGATTAGCTACTGCATCGCGTCTGCATCGCTGCTAAATGTCGCTGTGAGTAACCGCTCTTAGATCTTTGCAATTTAAAGCTCTGAGTGGTACTGCAACAGTTATGGATAAGCGTGTCACTTAACAACAGGCGCACGACATGTTTGTCCCATCACTCGGTATTATATAAAAAAATTGGACATTTAATAAATTACCGGCTGTAAGCAATTTAAAATGAATTTGTATAATTTGTTACTTACTCAATGCTATTAGAAAGAAAGAAAAATAATTATCTATTGTAGGTATGTTTTATTTGAAATGAGGAGTAATAGCTTAGCGTGGTGGACATGTCATGCGGAGGGAAGAATGTCATATGACGAGAAGAGTGCTAGGTATGAATGTGGACTGATATAAGGCGAAAGAAAGGCCAAAGAAAACATGGATGGATTGTTTGAAAGATGACATGGATAAGAAAGGTGTGAGTATAAAAATTACGGCTGATAGGGGAGAGTGGAAGAAAAATACAAGTTGTGCCGAACGGTTACCATGCTGGTCCGCCACGAAGAGGTCCCGGGTTCGATTCCCGGGCCGAGATAAATATTTATATCACCTGCATTTATTTATTTCGTGAGTTCGGGTGAAATTTGTGGTTGTCCATGGCAATGGCACCCGCGACACAGGGTTTTCCTAGTCCGGGGCTATGAGTATATGAGTTAAACCTGCCTTTTAAGCAGAACGTTGAGATTACCTACTTTGTACGTATCGTAATAAAATCCTGGCATTTTATTATCGACAGAGGGTTAATAAATATTTAGCCGTGGAATAGGGAACGTAGTTGCTATTTCACATAGAAAAATTCGCGAGGTTTGCTAATTAGTCTTTCGTAGGTCAGTTTAGTTTAGTGTTAAACATTCGGACATTCAGTAAAACACTTAATTACAGGTAAAATTAGTTCTCGATTTTTATTAGAACGATTCTCTAAAGCAACAGTAACCACGTGTCCAGTTTTATTAAAAAAAGAAGCAATCATCCGCTTAGAGGCACTTTGCACGCGCGCCACTTTGATTGGTTACGGCTCATCTTGAAAGACCCATACGCTCGATTGCTGCTTTGTTTTGGATCGTAACTATAAGTCCATGTTTCTTCACCTGGTACATCATGGATAAGTATTCAATAAAATAAATATTGCAACTTATGTAAATTTATATAATCATTGTTTCAGGCCATCTGCTACTGGTCGCGAAGAAAGTAGTCATAGACAAGGATTTGTATAAATCTGGTTATCACCTCGTTGTTGATGAAGATTACAGATCCAAGAGATTGAAAGCATTACATGTTTTTGGAAGAGCTCTACACCATATGGTGTGGCCGCTTGGCCCTGGTGCAAGATTGTGAAATAAACCATTAAAGAAAAAACCGGTTTTTATTTTTTACAAAGTGTTACTTCTTTTATATGATATCAAGTGACGGGACGAACAAGTCGTGCGCCAGATGGTAAGCCACACGCCTGTCCATAACAGTTGCAGTGCCACTCAGAGCTTTAAATCGCAAAGATCTGAGGGGTACTGCCACTGCGCCGGTCACCCTGAGACATAAGTTGACAAGTCCCATATGCCTGTAATGTCACCAGCATCCATAAGGCGTTTATTCGACACGAATTTCATGGCGCTCAAGCCGCGCGGCTGCCGCGTGCACGTGTTCATAGACCGTGCTGTCATGGTAAAATACGCGCTCTATTTATCTGTAAGTTTTGTCTTTGGTCTACGCGGCGACCGCGCGGTTGTATTATTCTAGTAAATAGAGTTCAGATTCGTCATTAATGTGCGAAAGCGTGGCAGCTGGGCCGTTGTCGTGCGGTGCCGCAAGAAAACTTTCGCGTCGTGTAACTGGGCGCTAAATGCTACGGACGGAGAACGAGAATAGATCTCCAGGTTGGTAAATGGAAAAAGAGCATAGTACATACTTTTTTAATCGCACACCATACAGACTTACACCCGGATATTCTATAAGGTTCATGCCGGAGGAACATAATTTTGTGATTTTTTTTAACATACTACCAATGGGACGAACAAGTCTGGCGCCTGATGGTAAGCTACACGCATGTCCATAACCGTTTGCAGTGCCACTCAGAGCTTTAAATCGCAAAGGTCTGAAGGGCACTGCTATTGTGCCCGTCACCCTAAGACATAAGTTGACAAGTCCCATGTGCCTGTAATTTCACCAGCATGTGTCGAATTACATGGAGTTCCGTAAATTACAATGTACCTATAAAACTGCATTCTAAAGTAAAATGTTACTCTTTTCTGCGGGTTAACTCTTTTATGTAAAGCACCGCCAATTAATAATTTACTTAAGTAAGTAGGTACTGAACAAACACATCGCATGCATAGTGCATTCTACATTGCTCAAAAAAGCCAGCAAACATTGCATAAAAGGAGTCGGGTTTTTGTTTCTTTGTTAAACAATTTAGTTTATTTTTACGATACTGAGTAACGTAACGGGACGAACAAGTCGTGTGCCTGATGGTAAGCGACATGACTCTCCATAACAGTTGCAGTACCACTCAGAACTTTAAATCGCAGAAATTTAACCCGGCGCCAATTACGTTGGGTCATATTGACCCGAGGCGATTTACAACGGGCACGTTTTTGTTTTACGCCAATTGCACGATTTCAACGTTTGGGTAGCTGGAGACACTACCCGACTCGCTGGTGTACTAAGGGAGAACTCTACTCAATGCTAAAGTCAGGACTTGAGTAGGATTCAAAGCGCTAGAAATCACACTCAAGTCCTTGCCATTAGGGTCGTATTTCCAGTGCTTGAAATCATACTTAAGTCTGCTCAAATCCTGACTTGAGCATTGAGTTCTGGAATACGACCCTAAGTGTGAAGCCATCTGCGCAGCCAAGTAATACATGCAGTAAGACAAAACGGGTCAATATGACCCAGCGTCACCGCTGGCGTGGTACTTCTGTGACTGACATTATTGGTTTATTTACTGTTTATAATTAATTAATCTTATTCCTGCTGCTTGTTGCTTGCTGACAGGTATTAATTTAATCATTTGGTACCAACACGTGAAATTTACAAAGCGTTTGTTATGTGTTCTGCGGGCGAAAACTGCACTATTGATGAGATGCTGGTGGTAATCAAAGGTCCAACCTCTGACACTCGTGAGAGATGTCAAGTATGTCCGTTCAAAAAGGATAAAAAACATCTCATACATGTAATACACGCTAGATTTACATGTACTACCTATATACCCGGATCATACGGTAAGTTACTGCAATAGTTGCAATAGTTGCACGTCTCTGATATAGGACGTAGAAGACTAATTTCTAATAATCAGTTTGAATGACCTTTCTTTTAGTATATAAGACTATTAATTCCTATTATTATTCAGAATACTTTACTAAAAATAAAAGAAATATGAAAATTATGTTTTCAACGTTGATTTTGCACGTGTTATTGAGAACGCTTATTAAATATTTATTTATTGTTATTTCAGTATATGTCTTGAGAACCCTTACTTAATACGTATTTGTTAAAATTGAGACAACAACTTTAAATTTACAAAAATATTATCGATGAAATTCGGGTTACGATGACCCGGCGGCGTCGTTGGTGTAATTATTTTCACGTCATTGGCGCCGGGTTAAGGGACATTGTTACTATACCCGTCACAAGTCCCATGTACATACATACCTGTAATTTCACCACCACACTTATTACCCTTGAAAACCGGAACGTAGTAATGTTTTTATTGTTGGTGGCAGAGAATCCGTAGGTATGCTTAAAATTATTCTGTTATGGATAGCTATAACATTGCTGAATAGATTTTAAAACAAAGACTCGTAAAGCGAATAAATATTCAATTTATTTGTCTGCCATTCTTTGTAAAATATATTTATTAAAACTCAATAAATTCCCATTATTTTTATTTAGTTTACGGTTTTGTTACTGCTCAAGGAGCTTTTTTGGTGGCGATTGGTACGATGTAGATGGATGTTCTGGCACAGGTTGCGTTATTTTTGTTAATTGCGTTACGGACGCAGGTTGCGTTATTGGAACAGATTCAGTTATTAATGAAGATTGTATTACAAGCGCAGGTTGTATTTCTGACGACGTAAGTTTCATTACTTGCGCATCAGGTTGCATTACTTGAGTAGGTTGCATTACCTGAGTAGTTTGCGTTACTTGCATAGGTTGTGTTACATTCACTGAGGGCGTTGCTGACATAGGTTGCATAAATGATTCCTGTCTTGGAAGTGAAAGTGAACTAATACCCTTACTTTTTAATTTCGCGTCTTTTGGATATTTAGGTTTATCTATAACCTCAGGCTTATCTACCGGTTTGTGTACTTTAGTAACACTTTTGTCATCTGGTTTTTCGACTAAACGAACAAATATTCCAAAAATACTGGCCAATATCATTGAAGCACCTGAATAATAGAAGGCCACGTCGTAGCCAACTACATCCTTAATGGCACCAGCTATTGGAGTACCAAATACGTTACCTACACCCAAAAATAACAACAACAACCCAGTGGCATTTGTCAATCGTTCCAAACCGTACAAATCGACTATAATAAGACTTCTCATACAGGTACACACACACACGTTAAACCCAAATATAAAACTGTAGGCATACTGGTAAATCACATGATAAGATAATCCTGAGGCAGCTGTACTTATACCAGAAAGGCAACAGCCTATTATGTACAGGTACAAGGGCCTTACTTTGATTGCTATCATACTCCAAATCAAACGACCAAATGCATTAGCAAATCCTATTACACTCACAAAATAGGTGCAATGTACAGCGTCAACACCGGCGGACAGATTTCTATCTTGTAAATAAACGTACGGAATATTAAAACCCATATAACTAAATGCGCCGGAAAGAGAATAAATTATGAAAGATTTTTTCTTTAAGAGCTCAACGTCGCACATTGTCACCAAAATTCTTCTAACAGCAGTGGTAAACACTCCTCGTTGATCCTGCAGATCGTTTAGTGTAACGGCTCGGGACACAGCCATCTGGTATTCCAGCCCTGTTTGCGCATCCCCAGCATCTGCTATACTTTTTTGATATTGTGGTAGTTTTTGTATCTTCCCGTCATAGAAGGCATCATCCCTGTACATTGGTCGGGCGTGTGGCAAATGAGTTTGCCAATTGCACAAATTCCCCCAGCAAGATTTTTTTTGTTCAGGCTCCACTACTTTAATGTGAATGTCCACAGGCGGTTGATCACTTACTACGCCTCTTGATATCATTGATTTTACTTGATTTAATTGAGCTTTGCTAACGCCTTGTACAGTAGATAGTGTAATTCTCGACACTCCCTGCCTTTGCGACGGTCCAGCTGTAGTTCTCGCAGTTTCCTCTTGAATTACAGCGGCAGCTGTCGGAAAGCGAGCATTAGACACTGCACCAAACAAGCGTTCCGTTTTATTAGCTTGAGCTTCCTTCCCGTCTGCTGGTATATTTCCCGCTATCGTCGGTAAGAAGGCTACTGTCCGCGTGGGTTCGTCTTCTGCTGCTTCTATTTTTGTAATAGTCAAAGAAAGTAGAGGCCTGAAGGTTAAGGCAAAGAAAAAAGTCAAACCAAGTAAACCGCTGTGTAGTAATATCGTAGAACGCCAACCAGCTGTGTTACAGAGTAACAAATTCAAAGGAAACAGCAGCATTATACCGAAACTAGTTCCAGCAGATACAAAAATCATGGCCATTTTCCGATATTTTTCAAAATAAAATCCAGTAACTAAACCCGAGGCCATATTTATAAAACAACACCCGGCTCCATATAAAAAACCGTAAAGAAAAAAAAACGATGCTATTCCCTTCGCTAACGATGATCCCAGAACACTATAGCAGCATATTACACTTCCTAACATTCCGCAAACTCGGAATCCAAATCTGTTAATAAAAGCAGAAGCTATTGGGCTTAGCATTAAGTATACTGCGTATTGCAAGGAGCCGACGACTGCAGTCATGGCGTCTGAAATTTCAAAGTCTTTACTGATGTCTTTGAGTAACGCACCAAAAGTGAAAACACACCCATCCATTATAAAGGCGCATCCAAATGCAGCTATGAGTACAACCCAACCCCACCCGCCGTCTGTGGGCACAGTTATTTGCGCTGCAATTTCAGTTTCTTCAGCACCTTCCAATTCCATAAATTTTGTGCTGATGACCTTGCTAGGTGCACCCCCTGCACTAGTTTTTCTTCTTCTTTCATCTTGTTTAGCTTTTTTCTCTTTATTACCTTTTTCAATATTCATTTTTGTATTTCTATATTATGTCATGGGATTAAGAAGCTGAACTATAGCTTTAGCTTTATCGTTTTGTAAGTTATACTCGAATCGCGTGCCAATTTACTTTACAAATTTGTGGAGGACACAATTTCTATCATAACTTTCATGTTCAGTTCTCATAAAGGCTGGCCGTGCTGACCCCATATTATTAATTCAAATCAGGCCCAACATAGGTAAGATCTTTCTAATTTGTGGGCCCAATAATTTTTATCCATCTTATAAGGCCCAATCTTAAAGCTGTAATCTTTCCTTGACTTATGACGTGACTAGAGACTATGTAATCTTTAATTAATGTCTGTGCCATAAATCTTAGAGAATGGAAAAAATAAATAGGTATGTAAAAAAAATTGTTAAAAAAGGGACGTAACTTTATAATCATAAAGATTTCATAAAAAAATACTTCAAAATCAGATTCTTCTTCCTTATTAGTAATAGCTGATTTCTGTGGAAATGTGATATATAATTTGAAGAAACAAACCCAATTTACGATCACATTTCCCGCTGTAGATAAGTTTCCGGAACTGGCCACTTATATAAACAATATTTAAAAAGTAATTACAGCATTTAAAAAAGGAACTCTTTGGCTGTAGAATACAGTGTTTTTCATCTGACTGTCACTTGTTTTTACATTGTGGCATCATTTTAGAAATTGGTTGTCTACATCGCCATGGATTTAACTCGTGAAAATTTTCGTAGTATGATTTTCTACGACTTGAAGTGCAATGTAACAGCTCAGCGAAGCTTCGCTCGGCTTCAAACTGCTTTTGGCAATGAAGCACCATGCAAGACGACTATTTATAGCTGGTTTTCACAATTCAAACGTGGTCGTGTGAATCTCAGTGACGAATTTCGTGATGCTCTGCGCCGTATGATCAAAACAGACAGGCATGTGACATACCATGAGATTCGGGCATCTTTAGGTGTAGACATGAGTCAAATACAATCAATACTACACAAACATTTGGGTGTGAAAAAGCTGTGTTCTCGGTGGATCCCACAATTTGACTGAGGCCCAAAAAACGGATTGCGTCACTTGGTGCAATGCCATGCTTACCAGGTTCAACGAAGGAGCGTCAAATTTGGTGTGGGTATAGTAATAGGTGACGAAACATGGATTTATAGTTACGATCCCAAAATAAAGCAGCAATCGAGCGTATGGGTCTTTCGAAATGAGCCGAAACCAACCAAAGTGGCGCGCGTGCGAAGTGCCTCTAAGCGGACGATTGCTTCTTTTTTTAATAAAACTAGATACGTGGCTACTATTACTTTGGAGAATCGTTGTACCGTGAATAGTGATTGGTACACGACCATTTGTTTGTCGGAAGTTATTGACAAACTCCGTAAAAGTTACCGTTAACGCCATATCATCTTGCACCACGATAATGCCAGTTCTCACACGGTCAGACAGACAAATTAATTTTTGAAGGTGAACAGTGTTGATCTTAAGAGCCATCCCTCGTACAGTCCCGATGGTACCTTGTGACTTTTATTTATTTCCAAAAATTAAGAACCAGTTACGCGGTCAACGGTTTTTATCACCTGAAGAGGCTGTAGAAGAGTATGAAAAATATGTTTCAGAGATTGTCACGGAGGAGTGGCATAAATGGTTAGAGGATGGAAAATATAAGTGTTTTCAAAATTGATTCATTCGTATGAAAAAGTGGATTAACGGTTACGGAGAATATTTTGAGAAACAATAAATTCATTTCTGACCATTATATATACTACATATTATATACTATAGTATTTTTTTCTTATTCATTCCGGAAACTTATAGTGCGCCTCACGTACGTACATGACAATAAATAACACTGTTGCCAAAATAGGCGATTTTTCGCCATTTAAGCTACTTGGAGGGGAATACTAGGTATACAGACCATGCAATAAATAAAAAAAAACATGTTACTGTAACGCAATGGTGCCAGATTAGGCGATTTTTCTCCATTTAGGCTCAAATCACACTGGCGCAAAGTCGAAGCGTCGAGACGCGTTATGTTTTTCGCCTATTGCTATAGGCGAAAAACATAACCTGTCTATTCATCTCTATTTTCCCATTATTAAGGTACAAACATGTGTTATGCAAATATGAAGTCATGCGTCGACACGCGTCGCCGCGCGTTATTTGAGCGCAGTGAGGCGTCTGACGCCTACCACACTGTGATCCGGGCGCACTAATGCGAGCGTCGCCAGGCTGTAGTTGAAAAACAGGACACGACGCGACGCGACGCTTCGACTCTGCGCCAGAGTGAGTTGAGCCTTAGGCTACTTCAAGGGGTAGCGCGGCGACTAAAAAAGTGATCGGCGACTCGACGATATTTGGGCTATGTTTGAAATAGGAAAAGGCGATTTTAGGCTACTTAATAAAATGTCTGGGGAATTACAAATTTCATAGGGGATTTTGTGGGGAATGGAGTTCTAAACTAACTCATTTGGGGGTTTGAGTATTTCTACGTGTGGGGAATCTACTTAACACACATAAATTGGCGAATTAACTTCGCAAAAGGCTGGCAACACTGATAAATAACTTACATTACATAGTACGTACAACAAAGGCGCTACGCAGCGCGGGCGCGTTGAGTTTTTATATAAAATTCTCGCATTGTAATAAATAATCAGACAAGATCGAAAATTACAAATGTCGCTTGGTATTTATTAAGTAATTAATTATGGTTACAAGTAGGTAAGTTTTGTTAAATATTTTGACGTCGATGTATAATATTATAAACTTCTTAATAGTCAACAATAATGCCGTGTGTCATCTACATTTTCCACCATTCCTCGACACGCCGTATACACCATATACTTTAATAATAAAATTTAATCCGATTTCTTTATTTCGTAGGTAATCAAATACATTTGAAGATATTTAAAAAAATCGTTAATTAAATGAATCTTTGTTTATAATTACCCGTAGTTATGGCCAATAAAATCTGTATTTTGATTGTTTGTCTGTGGTTTGCGTATTCATTTTCAATAAATATGGCTGGTGGTGAAGTTGAGCTAGCTCAAAGTGCCGAGCCTGGCGGTGATACTATCTTCGGCAAGATCTTGAGGAAAGAAATACCTGCAAAATTTGTCTATGAAGACGATCAGGTACTTAATAACCGTTAATCTCCAAGCTAATTATTTTATCTTAATTTTTTTCCGCGGCAGGTTACTAAAGCTGAGATGGAAAGATTTGATTCCCCTTATATTTTAATGTGATAATTATCATGTTGTACATTAAAAATATTACAGTACACTTAATCAATAAATAAATTCAAAACTTATTAAGTACATTAGTAATCAAGAATTATTTAGATTTTAGGTTATGTTGTTTTGTACAGTCGAGAGTGAAAATTTGTTTCTTTTTTTCCTAATTTGGGATTGAAAATCAATATTACCCAGCCAAAATGAAAAGTACTTCTTGAATCTAAAGAATGAATGTTACATTTCAGTGTGTTGCTTTTCGCGATGTAAACCCTCAAGCGCCAACCCACATACTGGTGATTCCTCGGAAGCCAATTCCGCAGCTGTCGAAGGCTGAAGACGCTGATGAACAGCTCTTAGGTATTCCATATTTTTTTTCACCTGACTAGAAAATCTAACCGCATATTACGATTTTAATCCACTGTATAACTGTGTTCATTGTAAACCTTCAAGAAAGTTTGTTTGTGTAAATAGTCACTTTTTGGGTTTGTTTTAGGATCTGTTGTTTTTTTTCTTTTTATAAATAGTCTATAATGTTTTCGACCGAGGTACTTGGTATCCAGGCCATGCAATAAATTTAAAAAAAAACATGTTACTGTAACGCCTTTAGAGTATATAGAACGGGAGACGCTATTAGCGTTATTTCTCGAACAAAACTTTCTGCCACTTTTTGAGGGGCGGGGGGTAGTACTATAAGCAAACAGGTGCACTCAAATGCAAAATTGAATTGTGTCACTATGGTCTCACACAAACAAAAGTCTACAACACTAGCTTATTTTTACAAATACACAGATAAAATACATGTCATGTCCGTACACAGAATAGGCCTATAAAAATAAATCGATTCTCATGAATATACTAGAGACGGAAAGTTATCGACGTGACGGTGTCGATTTGTATTACGGTCTGGTTAATCATGTATATGAAAAATGTAATGCCACTCTTTGTTAGATTGAATGTAGTGAATTTCTTTTTCCAATTTTGTGTGTAGTGTAACAGTGGTATTGTTTTACTTGTATTTGCCAGAGGAGATTGCCCATTAACTTACCAATAAATGGATAACAATAAATACAATCCAAAGTCTAATCCAAAAACCGCGAAAAAATGTCCGGAGTTTTTTTTTCAGTTTACGGCTTTTCGCGGTCATCGTTGGAGCCAATGACAAGCTTGACTTGATGTATAGAAATATTTAAAAACTAAAACATTTCATTTAAACTTACAGTTTCATTGCAGTATTGCTTAATTTTGTTTGCCACAATTTATGCCCAAAAATTATCCATATTCCGCTTCTTCTGGAAATAACAAAATGCACCATATTTAGCTTCTAGTGAAAACTACTTGAACACAAGAGTGATGGAGTAGTCTTAATGTCAATATTAATTAATTTTATAGTATTATGTTGAATTTTATACGAATTCACTTCAAGTAATAAGAGTTGTGCAGATATATAGGTACATACAAATATTGTAAATGTGTAAATAGCTGTGCCTCTCTGTTGGTAGTTATGACGTGCTGTAAGAAATGTATCGATGATTCGAATTTCTAGATTCCAACTAGAAGTAAACTCAAAGTTTCATAATTTCGAAAACCGATTTATAACAAAACCGTTATGCTTTCAAGGGATTTTGGTTGCTTATTACAAAGAAAAGATTAAGTTAGTAATAATCCTAAAATAACCCAAAAAAAGTACTAATGGGATTACAAAATTCGAGCAAACATTACTTCGGGCAAATATATTTTCGGACTTCTGATTGATAACAGTAAAACGAATACAACAATATTTTGTTAGTTATTTATTATTAACTTAATTTTAAGTTAAATTAAAGTTATTTAATATTATTTAATAGAAGTCATTTTAAAAATAAGATTAACATTAAATCAACCCTATAGTTTCTTTGTTCTAAATCTAAATATTTCAATCGCTTGTGGTTCGAAAATTTAAATTGACGTAACGAGTCTCTTTCTGTCTTTTGCTTAGCCTACACAAGACATGCGTGTATGACATGTGTGTGCGACGCATGTCTTGTGTAGGATAAGGACAGTTAGCTATTTGATTATTTTTATTGCTTTTGTAATTTATGTGGATTGTATGTATATGCTGCTGGTATATGTACTTTTATTTTTTTTCTTACAGTACGGCATGATTTATGATGATTTGTATTAAACAATTACAATTTATTTTCATTATTTATAATTTATTACATTATTATTTTAATATACAATACGACGGAGAAATCAATTTGAATAGACTTGGTTACATAATCTGTCGATAAAAATAGGAGCTAAAAGAGTGCGTCTCTTGTCTGTAACGAAAAAACCGCGTCCATGAAGTGCTGCATTTTTGTCTATAGTTACCTGTTAGTAAATAGGGAACTTCATAGGCATGATTATATCAAATGTTCGAATGTTTTCAAATATTTTTTATGTAATCGATAAATTGAATCATGTGATCATTGTGAAAAAAATGTCATAAAATAGAAAATTAGCAAATAATGTAAAAAATTGGTTTTATGTATGGAATGTAATTCCACCTGTGGCTAGACTGGATGCAGTAGAGATTTTTTTTGCAAGTTTGTATAGCGCAAAACGACATGTTTCGTGGAGTACTTGACGCGTTGAATTCGATAATGGAAATGAAAAAACATCGATTTGAAAGTAGTGTTTATTGTGCGATAGTTGTTTTGTGCTTGTACCTTGCCTATCAATGACGCCTCCAGTCCTATATGCTCTTAGTGTAACGCAAAAGTGCCAGATTAGGCGATTTTTCGCCATTTAGGCTCAATAAAATAATTATGGGAAAATAGAGATGAATATACTATACGCGAAAAACAGGACGCGACGACGCGACACTTCGACTTTGCGCCAGAGTGAGTTGAGCCTTAGGCTACTTCGAGGGGTCGCGCGGCTAAAAAAGTGATAGGCGACTTGACGATATTTAGGCTATTTTTTAAATAGGAAAAGGCGACTTTAGGCTACTTAATAAAACGTCGGGAACTGTAAACTTGATTTTGTATTTTGTGGGGAATGGAGTTGTAAAACAACTATTTCGAGGTTTCAATAGTTATCCGTGTGGAGAGAATCGGGACAATAAGATAGTTCATATTCTCCAATTCCCGGCAGCAAGCAGAATTGCTTTCCTTGATTTTTAGGTATTTTACATAAATTGGCGAATTAACTTCACAAAAGTCTGGCAACAATGCTGTAAGGTAATATTGTATGTGTACATCATTGTATGCACGTACGTTTTTGTGGGACCATTTATTATTTCACAAAGCTTAAAATTTCACATACAATTTTAACACATTATGTGATACTGTCGAAGCTTCCTTGAGTTTTCGCATATCACAAGCTTATTATTTTTTCTCAAAAATGCAGTCAAAAGTGCATGTCAGAAAGTAAGGGCGGAAAAATGAAAAGCTGAATGAATTCCTTCGTTAGTCATTACCAAACTCAAAGGTTGTATTAGACCATTGCAAAAGTATAAAATGTGGCAAAAAATAGACATTTCATTTGTTTCACTTATTTCCTCTTTGTTATGTAAAAATAATTTTAGTGGTTTGGTCGCACGGTCACGTGTGACGAGAGAAAGTTCAAATAAACGGCTGAGTAGAGAGTAACTGCCAGATTAGCAACTTGCCTGTCCAGTAATGGACGTCATTCGTCTGAAATAATGAAGCGAGGTTCTGATGTTTTTTTTTATATATTAAAAACAAAATGTAGTTTCCTTAACTACTAATAACTGATCTTCATATCATAAAGAAACTTGATAACTTTACAGTTTCAAAAGCGTGCTTCCTTTTGAATTTTGAACAATGACATTAGTTCGTGCGTCAGAAGGAGAGGCTGGCAGCGACATTTGGCATTTTGAAAATCTGGCATTCTGCTAATCTGACATTCTGCCCGTTTGGCATTTAGCGTTTCTGGTATAAAGCGTCAAAACGTATAATACAAGCCGCCAGTAATACTAATTTGCTTCCTCCAGGACACTTGCTGACCGTGTCACGTAAAGTCGCCCATCAGGAAGGACTAGATAAGAGCGGTTTCCGTCTCGTGATCAACGACGGGAAGTACGGAGCTCAGAGCGTGTACCACCTGCACATTCACATTCTCGGTGGCCGGCAAATGAAATGGCCGCCTGGTTAATGTTAGTCTGATTAAATTTAATTTTATGACGGTGCGAAAATAAAGTTTTTGTTAATAATTAGTTGTTTTAGTCTTTACTTATCTTACTTAAAAGTACATTTTTATTTGCAAGATGTCTCAATGTTCGCAGAATGAATCAGCATGTTGCTCAGCTGATATAGATAATATAGATAACTTTTAATTTTTATGATACCAAGTAAAGGGACGAACAAGTGCACCTGCGCTGTAGTGCCACTCGGAGCTTTAATTCGCAAAGATTCAAGGGGCACTACCACTGCGGCTGTCACCCTGAGACAGTTTACAAGTTTCACGTGCCTATAATTTCACCAGCACCTTCAGGCTGGTTTCAGAGTAGTGCGGATTATCAGATAGGAACACTGGAGCGGAGTAACATGTGAGGCGTTAGAACGTTGTTTTACAGTGTCGCGGATTGTCCCCTTCGAAACCGGAAAGCAGTAATACTCACATTACACAACGTGGCAGTACTTCCCTGGACGAACTCTATCACAAGGAGTTCTACTGCTACGACCATCGAGTATATAACATTTCTGGTTATATACGCGATGGCTACGACATATATATATGTATATGTTACCGGAAATGTATGTAATCCGTCATTGTATACAATTCCTAGGAAATGTATGTAATTCCTAAAATTATATTAGACACATTTCCTAAATAGCAATCGGAAATGTAAAACATTTGAGATTTCAATGTGTACGCGGGGATAGCGGGGCGAGGGGAGGGTATTGCTTCGTCTGATCAGGCGATCGCTCTAGTGCCGCGTAAACTGTCAGTGCGTACGCGCGTCGCAGTCCCTCTGGGCAGAAACGAATCGGATTATTTAGGTTAAGTTAGGTTTTTTTTATACAAACGCGGTAGTCACTCTGGGCAGAAACGAATTGGACTATTTAGGTTAAGTTAGGTTTTTTTTTATACAAACGCGGAAGTCCCTCTGGGCATGCTCTGGGCAGAAACGAATCGGATTATTTAGGTTAAGTTAGGTTTTTTTATACAAACGCGGAAGTCCCTTTGGGCAATGAGTGCTTTAATAAAAAATATTATTCTCATTTTAACAACGTGTTTTATTACAGAAAGCATTATTTTTATACATTTCCTAATACGATATTGGAATTATATACAATTCCTAGGAATTGTACACATTTTCTAGGACATTTATGTAACACATAGTTTTTGTTTAATAGTTTTTGAAACAATATTTTATACATTTCCTAGATAGCTTCGGAATTGTATACATTTCCTAGGATTTGTATACAATTCCTAGATTTCATTCATTTCCGGTAACATATATGTATATATACATAATACAATTTTATTAATATGTAATTAACTGAAATAAGTTTAACGATGTGTTCATACATACAAAATAAAAATTTACCTTCTAAAACGTTTATTCCAAATAAGTGAAGTGTTACTAAAAACAATTGTCTACTAAAGTTTTATGTGGTTATGGCTCCGTCGTCGGTTGGCGCATTTTAATTTGGTTCTTGTTGATTAATACTAAAATTTTGTTTGCTTCAAAAAACATTGAATATTGGTTTATCATTTCATTTTGTTTTACTGGCGACACTTAACAAACAGACTGCAAAGTCCAAAACACAAATTAGAAGAAAAAGATAAAATATCTTTTTCTTAAAATTATAGTTGTAAACAAACCTTTTAATCCCATTTGTGTTTAACACTATTTATGTATGAAACTGCTACAAATCGTACGTGCAAGTCGTGATCAAAGTACATGCGCCAACCTATCGCGCGATTAAAATACACATACGGCTATCCTATGTATGTACCCACAAAGTAATTGAATAACGGTCATTAACGGTGAACATGTAACGTTACACGCTGCAGATTTACTCTATAAAAGAATAAGTTTAAGACAGACTATTATAATACTAACGCAATGGTTTGAAATAATGCCTGTGGTCATAGCCAACAAAATCTTTTTAATGTATTTTGATTGTTTGTCTGGTGTACGTATTCACTTTAAATTTTTATTTTAGTATTCCTATTCCATTTTCATTCAGCGTAGTGAAGGAGCAGTAACTTAAATGTGACGTTTTCAAGTGTAAATTTATTTTACTTATGGAATAAATAATTTTTGACTTTAACTAGAAAAACCAACCGCATATTACGATTTTAGTCCACTGTATAAGTTCATTGTAAACCTTAAAAAAAAGTTAAAATCCTGTATGTGTAAATGGCCTCTTATTTTGACTTTGTTCTAGGTTTCTGTTTTTTTTTAATAAATGATCATAATGTTTTGGATTGATGTACCTGGTATCCAGGTCGTTTAAAAATACGATGTAATTAACATAATGTAAATAATATATACTCTCTCTAGATATACAATGTTTAATATTAACCTGCATGATATCATTTCAATTAATGTTGCTGAGCAACCAATTACGGCAGGCTTAAAGAACACTTATGTTATCAATGCTTATTATTTTAACTAGCTCTGCCCACGTCCTGCTCGAGTAATTGGAATTTAAAAAGTGCCTACATAAGTAGGTGATTGGGGTATGTAGTAGTTTTTAATAAATATTTAATTAGTATTAGCGGTTTAGTCGCGCGGTCATGTGTAATTAGAGAAAGTGTAATTAAACGACCGAGTTGACTATATTCGAGGCAATAGTAACATTATTTGTTTTTTCCAGGACACTTGCTGACCATCGCACGTAAAATTGTCCAACAGCAAGGTCTAGATAAGAGTGGTTTCCGCCTCGAAATCAACGACGGGGAGGAAGGAGATCAGACCGTGTACCACATGCACATTCACATTCTCGGTGGCCGGCAAATGAAATGGCCGCCTGGTTAATGTTAATCTGACTGAATTTAAGTTTGCGAAGGTTCGAGAAAATAAAGCTTTTGTTTACAACTAGTTTTTATTTTAGTCTTTATTTGGTTTAAAGCAATACTCACATTACTGCGCGGCGGCAGAAATAAGTTAGATGCCGATGATGAACTCTACAAGGAGTTTTACTGCTATGAAAAACATATATACAATTTAATAAGTATGTAATTTTTTAATAAAGTACGTTGTTTTCCATGTGCAGATTTCGAAAAAAATCTACAGTGTTCATTCCTTAGAGGGTGGAAAAATTAGTCTTAAGGTTTATTCCAACTGTGTAACTTGTTTTTTCTTTATTAAGAGTTTTGGCTTGGATACAAGTCCTTTGAGCCATGTCTTCGTTGAATTATCGGGATCCTCAAATATTTTCTATTGTAGTTCTAGTCACATTATGTTTTCAGTTTCTCTTAGATAACTTAGTTCTCTAGTTTTGGGTTTTCTAAATAGTCTTTTAAGCGGCGAGAGTCAATATTTATATTTTCACTTTCACTTAAATCGCATCTTCACTTTGAACAAAAACTTCTAATTCGTAATTATTGAAATTTTCAGGATATAATCTTTTGTAGTTTGATTTGAAATAAGAACTATAGTTGTAACTTTCTTCGTCACTGTTTCTTTCTTTGTATTTTCTTCACAATATTCTTAAAATAAAAACAATCTTTTAAAAACTGTACTTGAAACTTCAAAGGACGGCCATTTTTTCATATTATAAAAACAACTTTATTTTATTTTTTTGTTGTTGACTGTACTGAAATTTTGTTAGCTTCAAAATTGGTAACATAGAGTTGACATCGCCACGCCATTTTTGTTTTGTTATGCAGAACACTGGTATTCGCTCTGGACCTTTTGGAGGGAAAAGTGTCGTTTTTATTTTGACTTTCAATTATTTTGTGAAATCTAGTTTAAAGTGGAATAGGATAGTGCTATTGTGCCTTAATCGAAGATTAAAACGCGAAATTATACGAATCTCGAACTAAAATACACTTATCGGCCCGTTTTAAGAAACCCCGAGTCAATCCAAGCACGCCGCCTCAAATTGCCTATCCTCTTTGTGGCGGCCATATTTACAGAAACATAATTAAACTTCATGTTTAGGCTGATGGCTTAGCCAAAGCCTTAATAAATTAAAAAAAAAAATTATGCAGAACACTGTTGCCAGATAAGGCGATTTCTCGGCATTTAGGTTACTTTAAGTGGTCACGCTGCGACTAAAAAAGTGGTCGGCGACTCGGCGATATTTAGGCTATGTTTAAAATAGGAAAAGGCGATTTTAGGCTACCAAATTGTATTGGGGATTTTGTGGAGAATGGAGTTGTAAAAATAACTCATTTGGGGGTTTGATTATTTTCGACGTGTGGGAAATTACTGCATTGCTGCTTGCTGACATTAGGGAATATTTCTTTCACCAATGTCTTAATTTTCTTACCCTAATTTCTTAATTTTTAGGGATTTTATGACTTGGGCGAATATCGGCTACTTAACATACGTAAATTGGCGAATTAACTTCATAAAAGTCTGGCAACACTGTGACAGATACACACGCAAGCCTGATTTGTATTGTAGTATCCTTCACTGATTTGTGGGCCGATCGATGAAAATATAAATATTTTTACAATAACATCTGTTGAAATGAGTGAAAACGTGAGAGTGACTGCTATTTTCAGCGAATTTCAGAAAAGTCTTGACGACGAGCAGGAATTACGCGAGGTAAACGACCAATAAATTCGTCACTATGTTTTATGTATTCCCTTGATGTTTGTTTATTTATTTCGCATAAAACAACTACAAGACTTATACACTAGTAATACATATGTTACAGTCTAGGACATACATGTATCTTAAGAATAGTGTTTAAATTAATAAAAGACCTACGTATTTATAAGAAAGTAATTCTCGACAATGTTGTATTTTAGGTTATACGCAGCATTTGCAAAGAAGTGGACCAAATATCACGGGAAACTACAACCGTGCTCCAAGCTATACATCATAGCGAGGCTGGAGGTGAAATATTATTTATTACCCTAAGAGCTGTCTACCTTTTCTTCCTTTGTCTAGTACATGTCTACTAGACAAAGACAGCAACTGAAAGTATTTTTGCGCGTTCATATTTTGACGTTATACATACATATCTATACATCATAGTGAGGCTTTTTTGTATTATTATTTTATTTGCGAGAGAAGACGTTTTTGGTGGAGCGGCCAGTGCTGCACCTCCCAACTATAGAACAAGGCCTCCATTTAACCGTTTGACCATAGTTGATGGATCTAGAAGTTCCGCAATGAGTGGGCTCAGGTGGCAGGGATAGACATTCTTTGTGATTAGTTTTATGTTGGTCAGTCTCAACAGCCACCGATAACTTGTTTAGATGATCATGGATCTCTTCATTACGAGTGAACCGAGGGGCATTGTCTGTTGCCCTTAGGATACAATTCTGCACTTGTGGGAGGCAAAAGTATATTACTCTCGCTAGCCACACCCCACAGCTGAATACCGTATGTCCAAATGGGTTATAAGAGGGAGCAAGCCAAAAAAGTTTTCTCCAACTCCGCCCAAATTTGTGAAACAAATATATGCCTGAAGTTCGAGTGACATGCGACAGGAGATGTTGAATTTTGTGCATTAAAGTACCAAATTCGTTTTAACGGAATAACTCTAAAACTAAAGGGATTAAAAAAAATCCGTAGTGACAGTTCTCCATCATGCATAAATATAATTAATTATCTAATTTTTGTCCTAATAATCTGTAGCATTTCGAGGATGAATCGAAAAAATATCAAAATTAGAGGTCATTTGGTGATTTTTATCTATCGAGGAAACTTTATTGTTTTATGTTTCTGATTAGTGTCTATGCTTGAATATATCGTGTAGTTACTCATACAATATTTTATTTGTAACTTTAAAGTGGATATACCCCTCTAAAATCAAATCGAAGATTAGGAATTTTTCCTCTGCTCCCTCTTAAGACTGAGTTGAAGATTAGAAGTTGAAGGTTACAATATTTGCAATTGACTTCATATCTTTTTCGTTTCATGTGATGCTTCCATGTGAGATGTCTGTCCAAGTGAAAACCAAAACACTTCACACAATCAGAATGTGGTAATGTTTCATTGCCAAGTCTTACTGAATTACAGTTTCCTTTTCTCAGTGCAAATGTAATAGTATGAGATTTGGTGGTACTGGCCCGCATGTGACATTTACAGTAAGATCTAGTAGGAATTGGAGATTTGTGCTAGCTTTAACAGGATTCCCGTCAATGTACAAAAGGGCTATATAATCAGCGTATGTAGCAACTGTGATTTTATCCAATATTGGCAAGTCCTATATAAAGATGTTATGCAGAACCGGGCCGAGGACTGAGCCCTGTGATACACCTGCCAGAATATTGTACATGTTTGATCTCACTTCTCTGTGTTTAACTTGGAAGGAACAATCCGACAGGCAGGACTCTATGAGAAGAAACATTTTTTAATCTTTTTTTTTTTAATGTAAGTGCCCATTTGATCTGCATCTCACCTAATGTAAAGTGACGATTACATCAACGATGGGGCTTGCACACCTAAATAATGCCTATTCACTCTCGCCTTGAAAAGGTCCAAGTTATAACGTTCAGGGAACAAGTTTGCAGGCGGAGAATTCCACTCCATAGCCGTTCGCCATATAAATGTAGAAGCGTAATGCTTCATGCGAATCTTTGGATTATCCACAACATAGGGGTTTACAACCCAACGGATTTACTACCTGCTGCAGCACAGCTACAGTCAGCGTTAAACGCGTTTTTCTCTCTTACTGCACGGAAGTAAAGCTTTTTTCTGAGTAGCTCAAGCCAATACCGTGTCGTAAGTGTGATCACTGATGACACTTTATTGCCCATAAAAACTTAATGTTAATCGTTTTAGTGAGTGCAGCATGCACTCGTGCAAGGGAGCTGTTCGAGAAAGCACATGACGGATACGGCAGACTCAAGAATGTTGTGCCCTCTACAGATTATTACAAGTAAGTTCCAAGATAAAGAACTTTTTCGTTTTACGCGAAGGCCACGAGCAGCGACGCTTCAAGCGAAATTGCTTATTGCTACAAACGTCAATTTTTTTGAAGACGGAGTAAAATGACAGTTCGTTGCGCAAAAGTGATGCCCGTTTGCGAGCAGCTATTGATTGCAGTCGATAAATATTCTATCAACTATCAAAATATTGATCACGCTTACGGAATTAATAGCCGAATTTGGTTCATTTGAATCATCCTCGACTCATCCAATTACTGTGCACAAGTTAATTTCAATTGTCAATTTTTGCAAGTTCATACATATAGTGTGTATTTAGAACTATTATGATTATGAAAAATACGAAGAGGAGACATATTTTAAAGTGTTTCATTTTAGTTTAATATAGAGAATCAAATCCGGTTATTCTTGTTAAAATACTCGTATATATGAATAAAAATTGATCTCGATGCTAGTTCTTCGCCTTCTTAGTCTTCGCCTGTACCACGGTGAGTGCTCTGAAGAGTTATTCAACCTTATCCCTTCCTCTCCTTTCCATCAGCGGACCACCCGTGCCGGACTGCGTTGCCACAGTTGGACGGTCAGTTCAATACCGTCCCGCACTAAAAAGTTTGGCAATTCGTTCTTATGCCGAACCATCAAATTGTGGAACCAACTCCCGGCGCATGTATTCCCTCCCCTCTATAACATCGGGTCCTTCAAACGTAGTGTGAAGAAGCATTTGGCCAGACCGGCAAAATGATAGTGACGGAGTGAAGATATTTGTGTTTTCCATCCGTTACTCTCATCTCTGGACTGTATTCGCACTTTCCATCAGGCGCGGTGCAGTCATTTTGCCGAGTCACAATAAAAAAAAAAAATAAAAAAAAAATAGTTGTCCAACTGTCAGAATAAGAATAAAGAAGGAAATAACGTATTAGTACCTTAAGTCATTAGAACTTCGTAAAATTCACAATTCAGTAATTTTTGGCTAAATTTTATCTTTCACAGTCTATCGATGAAACTATCGACAACAACTACATAACTATTTAAAATTTTATGAAAACTGGCAACCCTATAAATGTCATTTTACTCCATTTTCAAAAAAGACAGACTTATACAAATTTATGATTTTATTTATAAAAGGCCTCAAAGTAGCGCTACAACTTAAAGCGAAATTCGCTACGAGCGAATTTTCACAAGAGTTACGTGAGTTTTTTACGGGCATAGTGTGTACGATACTGTCGCTCCGCGCGTCAGCGTTTGGAACAAATTATTTTGTGTTTATTTGATTACTACTGAAAACAAATAGTTATTAATTTGCATTATTATTATTAATACATATGAAACAATATTAACTAGACTTCCCCCCACCACCGAAGACGCTGTAAGCGAATTACCAAACTTCGTGGCTGTATTTTGTTTTCACGCTTCATTTGTGGCAGAGGCAGCCAATTTTCGTACAACATCTAATCTGCAATTTTTAAATATACCTTAATTAAATGTTAACTATTTTTAGCGAGGTTGAAAAAGAGGGTGGAAAATTAAATTCATATTAATTTATTTTTTGTGAAATTACTCCACTACTTTGTTATAATTATTAATACAAAGATCGAACACAAAAATTCATTCAATCAACCAATCGATCAACTTAAAATTTTCCCGCCTATTCTTATAAATGCACGCAAAAATATTATCATTTTTAAAATGACCATAGACAATATAACATTTTAAAACAAAAGTTTTTTGTGTGTAGACCTATGGTAGACCTACACACAACACGCGATTACTGAATTTGTATACCGATTTTGAATGATTCTTTTTTGTTCCTCAGTATTGGTATTTGAAATAAAAATTTATACTTTATAAAGACAACTGTCAAGAACAACCCGATTATTTTTGTTTCTTTGCTGAGTACCCAGAAGACCTTGCCATATGTGTGTCTGCCGGGCGGGTGTCTTTTCTAAGAGACACATCAGCAGGCAATAAAAGTAACGGATATTTTCAAGATTCTTCAATGATCAGGTACCAAGACCATTGGCGGTTCATAACGCAGCGGTACTGCTTCCTCATAGCGCTCACCATCTGGTTGGAGAAGGGGATCTTGGTCATGCACGCTACTGTTGCAGAGATTCTTGGCAGTAAGTGGCATTTAACTAAGTCAGTTTTAAGTAAGTGCTTCAAAATCTTGACATGCCCATCGAAAAAAATTATTAAAAAAAATGTAAATGTAAAAAACTTTTGTTTTTAATTTCGCTTGTATTCTTTGTGACTTGTTGTATTTTTCCTGTACAATAAACTATTAAATAAATAAATAAATAAATAAATTTTATTAAAAATATTTGATTCAATTTGACGAATTTCTGCTGTCCCGATTTTTCTCGTCCCATACAATGAAATGATCCTTACATAAAACATATCGATCGAAAGCTCTGAGTGGCACTGCAACTGTTATGATTGCCACTTGGTGTAACGGGCTGGTGTCCGCAACTCGACGTCAATGCGCCTATTTTGCGCGTGGTGGGTGCAGGGTTCCTACTCGTGCCACCCAAAATGTTATGGATAGGCGTGCCGCTTACCACCAGGGCGCGACTTAGTATAAGTGATTAATAAATTCTTTTGAATTTTTTTATGACTTGGCCGTATTTTTTTATACAAAAATATACGATAGTATTTGAGGTACATCTTTTGGCCCGTTGTATGGAAGAAAAAATGGATCCTATCTCCGCCTGTTTTTATTTTATTCACATTAATTGTCAGCGCACGGGTTGTGGGACGCTAGGGTTGTCCACCAACACCTCACCTCCTAAAATGTAGGCTTGCGTTGATATACCTCCCTAAATGCCTTAATTATGATGCCTAGTATTAAATTAAATGTAACTTGCTTACGATGGTTTATTTCTCGAGCCCGAGTACAATGGAAAACGAGAGCATACAAAAAGATTCCGCGCTTATTTATAACATTTCTTCCCGCCAAACACCACGTGAGGAATAGTATTGGCTATGACCAATAATAATACTAAAAAATGACAACAGATAGCAGATTACGAGCCAAGGAACACCCCGGACACTCCATACAACGGCCGAAAATTACTTACCTACTACTACTACATACAGCAACGCGCTATCTGCACACGCGCAAATGTGTGCGTGCAATAGAATCCTAATAATTACACAAGTTCATTAGGTATTTAAATCGATATAATATTATATTTTTCATTAATTGACCAACTAGAAAAATATTGAAGATTTATTTAAAAAATGTATTAAAAGCACTTAAAATATTATATTTTGGACAGGTACCCTTAAATAAAGTAACCAAAGTATTTGAAATGGCGTGTCCAAGTTTATCACTACCTAGTTACTGGGTACTTAATATTTATCTGCAATACAAATTGAAAATTCGAGAAGCCTTGTCTAGCTCACGAAGTTATGGCGTCTTATAATATTGATATAATAAATCTGCATTATATATTACTCTGCACTAAAGAAAACAATAATTGAATGAGTCTCAGACATAAGTTTTTTTACTTACTTCGTTTCATCTTTCAAAAAACGAAAGAAATTCTTCTCATTATTCCGTTTAGATGATTATAAACAGCAGTACACAGCACAATTCACGACCATTATAAATAGTAACGTAAAATGATGTTATATATTAACGAACAAATTTCGTAATGAATAAAATGAAAACTACATTCAAATATCAAAGCCGTCTTCGTCGTTGTCGTTCAATCATGTGACCGTCAATGTGCGGGGCGTGCTGCGGTATCTAAAGCTAGGGAGGGGCGGAGTGTCCGTTCTCGTTACTTAATTATTCTCTGCCAAGGATATTGTTGCGATGCTGTCTATGGCATTACGAAATAATAATTGGCAACACCAATATAATAATCTCAGTACAGAGTACTAAAAAAACCGACCTCAAAAGTACGTGGAATTACGTCTATTTGCTAAGTTTCATTGAAATATCCCCTAGTTCGCCACTATACAGGAGTTGATACTGGAGATAATATATCGAGGTATGGTCAAAGTATATCGAGGGAAAAACGCCTTGAATTGATGAAATAGCAAAATCAACTAAATAATTGCTAAAAGTAATTGCTCCTAAATTAAAGTTAGGCTATTATAAAAATGAATCTTCATGCGTCAACAGCCATCCTTTGAGGTGGATGATTTCCTTCAAAATGAAATGGGACCACTATTGAAGTACCCCCTTTCCAACAAAAAAAGAATCATGAAAATCGGTTCACAAATACCGGAGTTATCGCGTTACATACAAAAAAAAAAAGAAAAAAGAACACAGTCGAATTGAGAACCTCCTCCTTTTTTGAAGTCGGTTAAAAATAAATTGTTATCTGCAGGCTGCAATTAAAATTTCTCAACAATAACAACTTTATAATTGAATGAATTTATATAAGTATAACAGATTCTATTTAACAGTTAACAAAAGTGACACAATTCATTTATCATTTCTTCGAGTGTGATACAATGTACAGTGTAACGTGTAGACTATGACCCGATCATGCAACCTAACACTAGTTAAAAAACTAACTCAGTTGTTTGGTGTATTGCAGTTAGTGCTGTGGAGCAAAAGGAAGGTTTTCATTTGGACATTGAGGACTATCTTGTTGGGTTGCTGACCATGTGCACAGAATTGGTAAGTATGTTCTCTTTTGCAATAATAGAGTACAGCTAATTATCCCACTAACCAAGAGTGTTTAATCAGGTCCATGTTGCTGTCCGTATCAACACATTTATTAGAATCTTCTCTTTAGTAGCAGTAGAGGTCCTTGTGAAAGAGTTACCTATTTCTGCCGCCAAGCAGTAATGTGAGGATCACTGTGTTCCGGTTTTGAAGAGTAAGGGTGCTGGTGAAATTACAGGCAAATCAACTTATGTCTCAGGGTGACAGGCACAGTGACCGAGTCCCTCAGACCTTTGCAATTTAAAGCTCTGAGTGGCACTGCAACTGCTTCATAGCAGGCGTGTCACATCACAAGCTTTTCTTGTTCGTCCTGTCATTTGGTACCATAACAAAAATTATAAAATGCATGTGTACTGTGTTGTTCATTTAAGGAATAAATTATTTCCATTTCTTTATTATACAATAGCTATTATATATATTTATTATGTTTCAGTCCCGACTAGCCGTGAACTCAGTGACACAGGGTGACTATAGTAGACCTTTGCAAATATCAAAATTCGTCATGGAACTCAACGCAGGATTCAGGTATATATATATTTTATTGAATATCATGATATTTTTACTACCATAATGTATATTTTTAATCAACTTAAAAAAAAAGAGGACATTCTCATTTTTTTTTGTTGGATAGAGACCACAGTGTTGGGCAAGACATCAGAGATGGCGACACCATGAAAACCGGTGTGCAAGCCAGTCGATCACAGAGGCCATAATTGTGATTTGTAATTAACACTCTCTTTCTTTGTTTTAAGACTGCTGAATCTAAAGAACGATCACCTGCGCAAGCGCTTCGATGCTCTCAAGTACGACGTGAAGAAGATCGAAGAGGTGGTATACGATCTTAGCATCAGAGGCCTGTTGCCCAAGCCCATAGTGGAGTTAGATACGCAGTAGCATATCTAACATTTTGTAAAAGTGTACAATATTCACTTGAAGAGGCTGACAAACAGGCTGTTAGAAAAGTACATCTGAAATTTTGTGATAGCAAGATAAAGCTCTTTAGTGAATTTACCTTGTTCTACGTGGATAGTATTGCTTCATGAAATTTTAAACGTACTTTTTAACATTATGTATATAGGGTGATTTTTAATTAGTTAGCTAGTATAGGATTTTCCATCAAGGGCGGGTAGATTTTGACAGTTCATAGCGGCCATGTTGTTGAGGCTGCTTTTGCCAAATCTGTTGTTTATTTTTCAGTCACTAAACACAAATCATCATGGCAAATTACAGCGTCGAGCAACACCTGCAAATTATAAAAATTTATTATAAAAATGGGTGTTCTATTGTCACTTATCATGATTTGTCTTAAGTGACTGAAAAAGAAACAACAGATTTGACAAAAGCACCCTGAACAACGTGGCCGCTATGAACTGTCAAAATCTACCTACTGGAAAACCCTTTAGTAATCAGCAAAGACTGGGGTTTATTTTCCTCATCCACAATTTTCAAAAAGAAAATTACGTTAATATATTTCGTTTGTACGAAAAAATGTACAAAGATGTTGATCACCATGACCCAAGAGCATAGTATATTTTCAGTTAGTCATACAAGAAGGTATTATTATAAGAATCATACTATAATACACTTCCGGACATACAATTCGAGCGACCTCGCATTTTCAGTGTTAAATGCCCTCAGCATAAATAAAGTTTGATTGATCAAAAGCTATTATGCAAGTTTGAAACTGTATACTATACTCCGTTCAACCATTTATTTAACTTTTGACAAATTCGCTCTGGACCTTTTGGAGGGAAAAGCGTCGTTTTTATTTTGACTTTCAATTATTTTGTGAATTCTAGTTTAAAGTGGAATAGGATAGTGCTATTGTGCCTTAATCGAAGATTAAAACGCGAAATTATACGAATCTCGAACTAAAATACCCGTATCGGCCCGTTCTAAGGAATCCCGAGTCAATCCAAGCACGCCGCCTCAAATTGCCTATCCTCTTTGTGGCGACCATATTTACAGAAACATAATTCAACTTCATGTACCAAAAAAGAATAATGTACCAAGACTTGGCTGTATGGTGTAAAACCTTTGCCTTTTCCTTTATGGAAAGAAGAAAAAAAATTAACTTTTGACAGCTCTAATTCTAATCAATTAGTGATGTCTTAATGCGTTTCTGATTCGGTTTCTTATAAACAATCGATTTTATTTATGAAGAAGTTGTAATCGTGAATGCGACCTGGTTCAAAAAAGAAGATATTGTCTGATTGGGACCGTGATGTTGCGTTTGAGAATTTGTGTACTCAAGAATTAATAATTAAGTATAATAATGATTCAAGTGAAGATTCCCGTTCATATGGAGAAGAAGCCGACGATTCATTATAAAAAACAGTAAATTTTTATTACAATTATTTATAATTTATTTGATTTCATTATAATTTATTAGACAGGTACCAAAATTTATCATCTTGAATAATCTTTGTTACATAATCAATTGACTCGATAAATATCGGGGCTAAAGAGCAGATCTATTCACTAAAATTAAAAAATAAGGGTCCAGGAAGTATTGCATTTTTTTGTATACGGTGTTGTATATCAATAATTACGGAACTTCGTAGGCATGCATATGTCAAAAGTTAAATGGTTAGACGAAGTGTGAAAGTCATTACCATAAGTCCTAAAATTCAATATTCAAATGATCTTTATTTCATTGATAACCAAATTACGCTTAAATGGTCATATTGATTAAACTCTACTGCTCATTCGTAAGGCAGAGTCCCCTGAAGGGGTTGGGGTTGAATACATTTACAATATCTTATAATGACACTATCTGCATGAGCTAAAGCTGGTCACTACCACGGTTTCTTGTCATCCAAATACGCAGAAGCTGGCCTTGTTGACTATTTGAATTTGTAAAACAGAGGAAAACTTTTTCTTATCATCCTAGAACCATGCCCTTGTCTGTGTAACCTCCTTTAATGTTATTTATGTGAACTTTACCTCTTTATTATGTGCTTACTTTTATGTTCTTCTTTATTTGTTCACTGTACGCCATTCTTGATCTTCCTCTCTTTCTTTTTCCTTCTATTTTACCCTGAATTATAATTCTCACAAATTCTCAAATGTATCTTCTATTGTGTTTAAAAGATTTCTTTCTTTCAATGATTGCTAATATTTTGTAATGCAATGTGTACTCCACAAAAATCAGGAATTGAATCTCAGAAGCATAGTTTGTTTTTGTTTTTTTTTTAATTTAGAACAAAACCGTTAGAAATAAATAACTAATTCTAAACACTTTTTAACCGACCGGCATTTGTGAAGCGATTTTGATGATTTTTTTATGTTTGAAAGACGGTACCGCAGTATTGGTTCCATTTAAAATTGAAGAAAAAATGCCATCTGTAAGGGTGGCAAACTAGGGGATGAAGCCGGTCACGTTCCAGTAACCGATATTGTTAACTTTTTAGTGCCAATTTTTATGTACATATAAGCAAAGTTTGAATTCGGTTCCTTTTTTTTTTAATAAAAATTACTTACATTTGCCATAAGATTGTTGTATTACTATAAACTTGTCAGCCTTTTCACATTGATATTAGTGCTAAAAAAATTCTGCACTTTATTATCTTGTATATATAAGATATGTAAACTTGAGTACAGTCTGCAAGATTAGCTGATTATATTGCAAAATGTTTTTTATTTATATTTAAAACTTGTGCTGTAATACTTTAACCCTTTCCGTGTCAAAAAGACTGTTAAGAAATATTGTTTAAGTACACTTTTTATTAGATAACCTGTTGTTTTATTTATCTACTTATCCGAAAAACATATCGCCTTGTTATAACAATGCTTATAACAGGTTAAACCCATAAACATAATCATTTTACAATTAAATATTTGTTGTAAATCGAGTTTTGTTAAAATTTAATAGTGTCGCACCCTTGGTGCAATAAGGACACATCTGCAAAATGTCAACTTTTCAGGAAAAGATTCTATGAATGAAATCAAAACTTTCATGCTTAAATAAGACTTATGAAATTTACCATGTAAGTACTAATTTCTTCATTAGTACATTACTACTAATTTCTTCATTCAAATCCATCTAAAAAGAACCTGGAGTCGTGTCGGGGCAGTTCCAGCACGTGCGTAGATTCTTATTATATACGAAGTGTTTTTTTTAAATGGGACAGTATGGGAAAATCTGAAACTGTTAGGAACCACTAAAATATTTTATGAAAATCTGACCAATTTGGGCTATCCCGATTTTTACGTCCAATACAACGAAATGATCCCTACTTGAAACTGAGTCGATTAGCACTAAAAAAATTTTGATCGATTTTTTTTAAATCTGAATTTTTTTGAAATTTTGAAAATTGATTTGAATTTTATTCATTTTCTCAATTTCTTGGACAAGCGTGAATTGTCCAACGCTTGTCCAAGAAATTGACTATGCCAAAATTGATTTCACAAAAAGACAATGGTTCCTAAGACAGTTCCCCATTTAAAAAAAAATCACACAATATATTATGTATTAGTAGTAGTAGTCCCTTGTGAAAAAGGGTGCCCAGGGAAGTACTGTCACCTTACCTATTTCTGTCGCCAAGCATTACTGCGTTCCGGTTTTGAAGAATAAGGGTGCTGGTAACATTAGGGTGCGTTAAAATGCCCGTTGCAGTGCACTATTATTTTCATACAGTAGCTGGGAACGCTGTCGCAGCACGCATGCGCCACTTATGCAGTAACCATTAGTGAAGTACGTTGCGCCACTGTAGTGCTTCTATAAGCGTCTTTTTGAAAGCGCCAAGTAAAATTATGTTTAATGCTTTTGTAATTGATAAAAAATATGGGTTCCGCCATTGACTTACAAATAAATGGACGACGGGTCTAATACAAAAACCACGAAAAAATGTCCCAAGTCAACCTATTTAAACGTAGTGACATGTAAAGGAATATGAAAAAGCTAAAACGTTAAATTTAAATTGTAATGTCATCGCAGTACTGTCTAATTTTGCTTGCTTCGCTGTCAGTCGAACAAACGAAGACTAACGCGTGAATGACGCTCTGCATACGATTTTAACGCCCTATAAGTTCGGACACTTTTTAGCGCGGACCCGACGTCCATATAATTGTAAGTCAATGGGTTCCGCCCACAATTTTGAGCAGAAATAGGTTAAAACCGGCACTTTGGATAAAAGCCGAGCGGGATTGAGTTTTTATCCACTGTTCATCTCTGGGTATAAACCTAAATACAATGTTGTGTAACTTGAAAAATAAAATGGATCCGGCTTTGGATATTCGAGGGAAGCAATTAGAGCTTGCTTTAGTCGATATTTAGTTAATGGGGAAAAACAAAACGCATTTTAATCAATCAACATTTACTTAAGATAAATAAAGCAAAAAAGCTGTCAGTTCTACAAAATAAAAAGTACAATCAACAAAAAATCTTACAGGGTATAAAATACTGCTAGCCGAGTTACAATGTTGTGAAAGTGAATCTACTACATGGAATGGTTGACTTTGCACAATAGAACTACGATGTAATTTTATACGCGCAGACGACGCGCGTTTACGGCGTCGAAGACGTTCGAAAGGCTGATTGTTGCGTTTGTATCGACTCAAACGCGCGTAAAATGCGATACAAACGCGCGTTCGAAGTGCATTTGCGTCGAATCAAACATCGCGTTGCAAGACTGAGGAAAGGGGCAAGGGAGGGGCTACGTTTACATTTTTTTCTTTTTAAAAATCACTAATAAAGCTAGCGCCAGCAGTGTTGTCTCGACAGACGCCATTATGCTACTATTAAGAGTAGTAGTTTTAATTTTAGTTTTGTTTGGTAATTTCAGTTAATTTTTGAAATGAAGCAACTACTAAAGTGTAAACTCTAGTGGAGTATTATAAGCTTCTTGCTTGGAACGCGGTGTGTGCGCGTTTGATGCGCGTCATCAGCGCGTATAAAATACGTCATGTGCATAGGCTCTTAGAACGGCAAAATGTTACAATGGAGAAAAACTTTGGGAGAACAAATCTTTAGCTAGTTATTTCAATGCTATAATGCAAATTACAAATGTACTTTGGTTTTTATTTATCATGATCACATTTATCTCACATTTATTTTTACACTCTGTAGATGAGAGGTAAAGAACGATAAGTGCTAAATAGTAATTTTTACTACATCCCCCATATAAAGGCCAAAATCAACCCCATAAGCCCACCGGAACTTGTGTGAAAGTGTTGGTTTTTCTTTTACTCTTATATTATATAAAAAAAAATTGTACATATAAAAGACACAATTCTCAAAATTAAAAAAAATCTGTGTTTTGATTGTACGAGTCCAACCAAAATATTTGACATTTAAATAGTATAAATGCGACACTGAAGAGTCATGGACTATGAACGTGTTAAAGATAATAAGGTTCTTAATTAAGCATTTAAAAATCAATCGTATCGTCAAAAAAAACTTTAAAATCAATCTTAAATAAAAATATGTTAAATATAAAACAAACGACGATATAGGAATAATGTCTTTTACCATTTCGTATAACATTCTAAAACAATGTTGTAAAATCTCTGAATTCCACAATATGGACCTAGAGCGATGCCACACGATGCGTTGCGTCATTGCAGCATTGCGACGCCTTAGCTGTGACGCTGCGTTGTATTACACATGAATAAGAATGACATGCCACACGATATTGAAAACTGCACGCGGCGACATAACGCTTACGCATCGGACAAGGGCCCAGGTGTTGAAGCGGGGAGGGGTGCTGCGATGCGTAAGTAAACGGTGCTACGTTGCTCGTGTGCCAACCGATGCGTTGAAATCATTGCGTAGTGACGGCCCAACGCCGACGCCTGAACGGTGACGTTGCGTTGTACCACATATAAAATAGAACCAATTGCCACACGATGCGAATGCAGGTGCATGGGATAAGGGCCAGGAGATGAAATGGGGAGGGGTGTTGGGATGCGTAAAGCGCATACCACTCCGCGAACGAAGCTAAGCTAACTTAGCTCACGCAGCCGGGGCATCTATTTGTACTCCGCATTGCAACGACGCAACGCATCGGCAGCGCCCGTGAGGCATCGCTTTTTACCTATCATGTTCAGAACTATTTTGTCGGTTGGAATAAATGTGAACGAATGAAAAAACGTTCCAATTTTCGCAGAAGCAGTTTTAGTATTCATATGGCAGAGACAAATCTAGACGAATAATTGCACCGTTATAGGCACTCTTCACAAATTAAACAGACATTGCTTTGAAAATATGTTTGCCAACAAAAGTCCTCGTTGTCACAACTAACGCACTTGCACTTAGGTCACTTTCGAGATACTGGCATCTAAACTTTTGTTGTCACTTAAAAATATTTCAATTGCACTGATTCTGTTTAGCAATAAACTGAAACTAAATAAGATATCAAGCAAGCGGTTAGAGATTTTCCGCCAATCCCAGACATTTTAACAACACAATTTCGCTAAAAATGTGGAATACGTTAGTTATAGATAAGGAGGGCAGATGCTTTTTACTCATTTTTACTCGTCATAACTAACATGACCATGTCTATAGTCCCGCTTTTAAGTCTCGTGTCCCGCTGTCCCCAAAATACGTAACAATATCCCGCTTTGATTAAACAGAATGCACGTTATATTAATTATAAAAAAATAGCGCGAAAGCGAAAAATATATAAAACCAGATCACCAGACTACACAAGATTAGTTATTGTTTGTAATTTTTGATCATTAAACATTTTTAATCCTAAAAATAATGATCATGTTAGCCATAACCGATAATTCAATCGCCATTTTCCCCGCTACATTTTCTACCCGTTTATTTTTAAATTTCAGTCAATACAAAAATAATGCGTTTCAAAAATGTCAACTTATGACATAAAAAACTCATAAAAAAAATATAGAAATATAAAAAAAACTCAATAACATCTTTAGAAAATAATATTTACCGCGTTTTTCCTATAACGCCCAGTAACGCTATGGATAAAGAGTGAAATACACAGAGAGCGGGTGCGGGTCGGGAGCGGGTCTAATTCCGTTTATTTATATGTGCAATACACATGCGGGCGCGGAACAGGCGCATCCATATAAATACTCGGAATTACACCCGCCGCGCCACCGACCCAACACGCGCCCTACTCTCACCTGCTCTCTTTATTTCACGCTTAATAATCTTCAGTTCTAAGGGCGCCTTCAAATTAGAGCTTATATAAGTGCTGCAGTGGCGCCATTGCTGATTTTGTGATTATTGCCAGTTGTTGCGCCACAGTCCTGACATGCGTGCGCCACTTTTGCAGTCTCAATTAGTGGACTAAAATGACTGAAGCGCTAGACGCGCCGCTGTCCATGTGTTCTACAAGCGTCCAATTTAAAAGCGCCCTTAAAGCAAAGACTCAACTTAGCTGTAATAGCAAGCATAACGCAGCACTGCTCGACATTACTTAAATAATTTCCAGTATCTAATGGATAGAAAATAATGAAGATCCAGTTTCATGAAATAAAAAAAAAAACTAATTTAACGTAAAGTCAGGTGGGGTTAAGTCAAATGTTTTGAGCTCTAGGAAAAACAAATAAAGTCTAACTAACTAACTAACTAACCTGATTTAAAGTGTAAAAAAAAAAATAAAAAAAAAAAATAAAAAAAATAAAGTCTTATATAAGAATTTTGAACTACACTAAACTTTTGTTTGTCTGTTTTACGTTTTTTAACTAAATTCAATAATTGCGAATTTATTATCGTTTCGCGTACCCCAAAAGATGAGGTAAAAGAAACAATCATCGTATTTCAGAGGCCTCATGTTCTCAAGATTTCACAACTGTCAAATTTGTTTTTTTTTTCCGTCAATTGGATTTGGAACATCGTAGCGACATCTCTATGAAATCGTTTAAACTAATATGTTTGTCTGTTCTATCGACTGAGACACTATATAGCTTAACTTTTTAGATTATGGGTTAAGGCTTAAAGTTCCTATTCCCCCGGTATTCCTCTTACCCTACCTCACCATAAAAATATTTTCCCCAGGGTTTTCATTTTCAATTATTACTAATCAAAAAATTATGGACTGAGATCATTTGAGATCAGTTAAATTAGTTCAGGTTTTACATTATGCGCAACAATGCCGATACTACGAACTACAAAAACATAACAAAAAAAAAGTCAAACGTAATGCTACCTGAAAGAACAGACTAATAAAAAATATATTTTTCAGTGCACCTACTGATAAAAAATATTCAAAACACAATAACAAAGTAAGTTGAAACAAATAAAGCGACTTCAAAATGTTGGCAATTTGCCCGCAAATGGCGAAATAAGCTGAAATCACATTACTGAATAATGCGTGCGAAACTATCGTAAAAACTTAAAATATATATAGCAAAGGTTTTTACTTACAGGAGTTCGCCATTCAGTTCCTAACGGAAGGCTGTATTGTCCGAAGGTGTTAAGTTTTAACCATTAACTATTAATTACATTATACAAACGATGTGGTAACGAATTTTCAAACCAGCTACCACCACTACCAATCATATTGCAAAAGTTAAAAAAAACTAAAAATCACTTTACGACGTTGAAAAACAAATACAAAATTGAATTTTATCGATACCCGCAAACAAAGAAAAGTTACTATCACAAATATACTGGAAAGAATCTCTATCTACCCACAAAGTAATTATGACAAAGTTTTGAAAAACCTGCCTATTAACTAATTTCCATTTGTCCGTTATTAAACCGGCGTTATACAGTTCAATCCTATTTAGAAATTTACTAAAATTTTCTTCAATAAAACTATTCATTTTCATTTTCAATTTGTAGTAATTTTCGTCTTCAACCACAACATCAACAATTTTCACTTTCAAGACACTAGCAACATCGATTACTTTTTTCAACCATAAATAAGTTTTTTCATTATGGCAACTATAGACTAGACTATTTTTTTGAATTCCGTGGCACTGGAGGAGCGGTAAAAACGATGCGTTGTCAATTGCTGTTGAAATTAATATTTGTACTTTTTTAGCTAACCCTATGGTTATTTTATCATCACTGTTTTCAGGTACTACGGACACCCGTTTGATAATACTTCCTTTGTATTTTTTATTAACTATGTCCGAATTTTCGGAATCAGAACGAGATCTTTTACTGGAACATACACTTAAACTTTTGTAAAACTCTTTATTGACATCAGAACATGGACTTATTACTTCGACATGTTTATTAACATCAGTTGTCTTGTCATTGATGTCAAAATGATTTTGGATGTCATTTTGTGTTGTAACATCGTTTTTTTCATAGTTAAGTTCTGTGTTTGCGTGTGAATTGTTTACGACACGCTTTTTAAAATCAACATCAATATCCTTGGTGAATGTCAAATTCAAATCAATCTTATTACTAGATATTGAGCAATTATGAATCAAATTCAATTCGTCACGATTGTTGACTTCATTCATATACGTATTGTTATTTGCTCGATTGTCATTAAATGCAATTTTTAGAGCGTTTTCTTGTACTTCGGCGTTCAAAACGTCTTCTAATTCAGTGATATATTTCTCTAAATCACAATTCTTTTTAATATTATTTTCTAAAACATTTAGGGAAAATATAGATTCGTTACTGAGATCAATTGACATATCTTTACTATCACAATCTGTTTCCATGCCTATCGCTTTAGCATCACAGGCAGTTGTTGTAATGTCTGCCAAACTATCGTTATCATCCGAAATTACTATAATGTCTCTATCAATGTTGATATTGTCATTGACCATGATGACATCACTGTCACTGTCATTTTTTATATTTATATCTTGGGTAGGAATGTTATTGGCGTAAACTATGGTACTTTTGTTAGTTTTGGTTGGTGGTAATTCAGTGTCAAGGTTGGTGAAGCTTTTTTGGTAATATTTCTTTTGGAGAATGATTTTTCTGAAAGCAAAACAAAATAAGCCTTAAAAATACAACATTTATAAATTAAAATTCTTTACCTAAAACTGTATTCATTTTATTTCTTTTAAATTCAAATCTTTATTTCGGACAAAATATACATATCCAGTGTTAGTAACAAAATACTTACAAACTATGTTAATATAAATCCTCTTAACATTGACGTGTACCCGTACCCATTGATTTAATATGGGCCCACCGTTCCTATCGGCCACTGTACGAAGAAGGCCATTGGTGTTGCCCCGCACTCTGCGCATTAGTGACGCTACCCGCTTCCGCAAAATGACACTAAAGCAGTCCACTCGCGCCTCGGTAAACATTCCCGAAGCGTTATAGTAGCGCGATAGGCCCAACAGCATTCTGAGAGCGCCATTATACTGGACGCACAGGGCGCGATACACTTTCGATGTATAATTGACCCACAAGCTGCACGTGTGAAAAGATTGGCAAAATGCTTTAAAAGCGTGAGCTTTACGGTTTTAGTACAACGTGCAAACCTGCGGGCCAGCATGTTGCACCTTACTGCCAACGCCTTGCGCTCGCTGTCAATGTCCATGTCGTCAGACAGACTCTGTGTCACCCAGTGCCCTAGGTACTTAAAATGCGAGACCCTACGTAGTGGCACACCGCATGACTGTGTGTGTGTTGAAGAAATGCTAAAGTCACGTGTTATGCTCATTACGGTGAATTCAAAACTTTAAAACGCTCCCCTATAAACTTGGCAATTGCGACGTACGATACTTTATGTAGGAGGTGTCGATTTGTGTGTGGCTTTCTCAACAATATTTAAAAGTTCTTCAAATTAAAAATGCTAAATTATCCTCAAGTGACTTTGATCATTCTATCCCTGGGCTATTGAAATATTCCCTTTTGTCTTTAAATAAAGAGGACCCTGACTCTCCGACGCTTTCAAGTTTTTCATTTTTTCAGGATAACTTTTGCAACAAAAGCATTTTTGCAGGGAAATCAAGTTTTTTTCATGTTTTTAAATTAGAACCAATAAGAAAATGATGTTGATAACCATTGACTTACAAATAAATGGACGACGGGTCTAATACAAAAACCACGAAAAAAATGTCCCAAGTCAACCTATTCGAAATTTAAATTGTAATGTCATCGCAGTATCGCGCTGTCAGTAGAACAAATGAAGACTAAAGCGGAGTGTCGCGCTCTGTATACGATTTTAGCGCCATACAAGTGCGGACACTTTTTAGCGCGGACCCGACGTCCATATAATTAGAAGTCAATGGGTCTCTAAGATCGTTTGCGCAATACGTCCTATTCGTATCAATTCCTACCTAGAGAGACAAGCGTACAAGCGATATTCGTATATTCTCGGATTCGAATAGGACTTAGTGTACAAGCGACATCCGAAGTGGGTCAGAGTTATCTAGATGTGTATAGTCTCGGATTAGGAACGCACATGAATCGGATGCAGTATGCAAACGTGGTAAAGGTCCCCGTCTCTTAGGACCCGTCCATTAGGTCACTGGCGGATTTGCCCTAAGGCCCAGTAGGCCCGGGCCTAGGGTGGCCAGATTTTAGGGGCGGTCAGTCCCATATCTTTCTACAGAAGTTTTGTTTATAGTGCCCCTCCCTATTAACCTCTTGGTTATGTGGGAAGAGCACTATGACCTGTGCAAGCGAGCTTGCACTCTCATTTAAGGCCCAGGTTTCTCAGTATTAGTAGCAGTAGAGCCAGCTCCTTGTGAAAGAGTTCGTCCAGGGAAGTACTGCCACCTTACCTAATTCTTCCATCGAGCAATATTGTAAGCAGTACTGCGTTTCGGTTCTGCTGGGTGCTTGTGAAATTACAGGCACATGGGACTTTTCAAATTATGTGTCAGATCTTTGCGATTTAAGGCTCTAACTGGTGCTGCAAGTGCTATGGACAGACGTGTCGCTTACCACCAGGCGTCCCGTCACCTGGTATCATAAAAAATAATAATTAAATACTTACTGCCCACTGAAAACGACGCTGATATAAAAAAAGTCGGAAACTTTTCTGATCTCCTTGAACAGGTTGTTCTCCAAAAAACTGTTGTACACATTCTTCACCTCCCTCTTGTTTATATTTGTCACAATACCCTGTATATACGTTCTTTGTTTCGTATTTAAAACTGTATTGAAATTTAATTCCTGTACCGGCTCATCGTTTTCGCAAAAGCCTTTGATCTTTTGCATAAACAAAAGTCTGTAGGCAAGACTCCTAGCAGCTTTTGAGGACGGGCAACACCTCGCAAGTTTCCAAGAACCATTTATTAAGTTTAACTGTTCCTTTATTTCACTTTCCTCATCCATGTAGTGGCTCTTCTTAGAGTGGGACGAATCTTTCTGTTTCGATTTTTTCTTTTTCTTTTTTGAAGAT